TTTGCAGGTTTTGTACTGCCGTTTGCAGGGCTGTTATGTTCTTTGTGCCCTCTATGGAGGTCTTTTCCAAATCACTGAGGCGGCCTGTCAGGCCCTATATGTCCCTGCGTATGGTGGCCATGTCAGCCATGAGGTTCTGCTGTAGGTCCGCTAGGAGCAGTCGTGACTGGGGTGGATTGTGGGTTCAGCCGTGGCATTTGGTGTGTGGCTGCCAGAGCCGGTAGGTATCCCTCATCTAGATCTGTGGACTGGTCGTCTGAGCCTTCTCCCATGAGATTCGCCATCTTGGCCTCTTGCTCGCTGTTTACCTGTCGCCACATGTCACCGATGGACATCCCCAACCGGGGTTTATCAGGTTTCATTTTCTTGTTTTTCTTTCCCATAACAATGAAAGTAACGTGGGGGGGTCTTCCGTGGCCCCAAAGTACCAGTAAAATGGCTGTATAATGCTTATTTGGGCCCTTGTTTCCAGGAGCTCAAGAGTTGTGCGACCGCTCGCTTTGACAGTTAAGCTCCGCCCCTCCAGTATCTTTTCTTTGATCACTGATTTTAGCTAATTTAATAAGACGGATTGTAGGTTGCGGAATATAGACCAGATACTTAATAAAATATAGAATACGAAAGCGATTTCTTTAAACTGTACGAACCTGAACATTTTATTTATCTTCAGACTGGAGTAAAAATGTAAAGACGCTTTAAAGGCATATCCTGGGAATCTAGAAGAATAGACTAGTTGTATGGTCATAACCAAACTCGTAAAGTGAGTATAGATAGGGAAAAGTTTCTAAAATCTTATAAAAAGCAAAAAAAACAAAAACCCCTGGTTAAAACTTTGCAGTCAACACTCCTCAAAGTTCTCAGTGTTTTATTGTGTGGGTATTATGTCATATTAAATAAAAGAGAGTGGGTTAGTGACATTTAAACTGTTACCGACTTAATAACAGGAATAAAGGGAAGGTCATAAAGTCTCTTTTTTTTCCACTGTAGCTAATTTTAATCCAAAAATTCCTGGACAACATGCTCTGTGTCTGTGCACCCTTGACTGTCTGATTCAGAGCTATTAGGGGGTTGTCCAAGAGGACAGAATAGCTTCTGTCTCGACATACAATGCATTGCGTGCAGATCTGCGTTAAAGTGTCATTTTAGGGACAAGCGGACCTTGGAGTGGGCTGTTATTGTGGAGCAGAATGGTTACATGGTTAAAAATAACTTCATTAGGGACAAGGCCAGCAGTTTAAGCTCCTGCTGGTTGCGTAGTAGACCAAGTTGCAAAAAAGAGATTATCACTTTATGGTGCGAATTTCGATTGAAAGGAAAATGTAATACCATACTTGCTTTCAGTGCAGGTGTCTCAAAATAATGTTAAGCATTTCCTAACACCAGCCTTTCTGGCATGTGGACCCGTCACCATTACCTTTATTTTTTTTAATTTTTTATTTAAAAGGAAATTGTAACTTCATAGGACATTTTCTATTCTGTATTTAGCAAATATGGTTTTGTGAGGTTTGAAAAATAAAATGAAGTGTCCACTAATCTATTCTGGTTGCCTACAACTTGGCTTGCGTTCAGTCTTTGTTATCAATGTTGCCCTTTTCTGGCATTGAACATAGTAAGTGAACAAGAACAGACAGGAGTGTCTATTCTTCTTTTAATTTGCATTGTTTTCCCTAGGTGTACCTGGAAGGAACTGGATTGTCACTTGCTAAATCTTTAATATACATTAATAGACGAAAGCGGAACATCACAAGAAAAAAGTTAACAAAAGTTATAGATGATTTAAATAATTTTTTATTTTTTTTATTTTATGGCATAATTTCCAAAGAAGTGTGACAATTTAGCTAAAATAAAGAAACACTATAGTGTTGTCAATACAAATCTGTATTCCTGACACAACAGTGTGCTAGTCACCATTAAGGTGATGGCCTCTGTCCCACATTTTAAATTGCCTTTTATCCCTTGCGGCACTGAAAGCCACTAGAGTCATTTCAACCCTGCAATGTAAACATTGTTATTCCTCCAGTGTTTTACACAGATGAATTGGTCTGGGGGCTTATAATGTCCCTTTAACAAAATAACTGGAGTGTTATTGAAATCTGTGGTTCAAGGAACGGTGCTCCATGGAATTCATATAGTGAAAACTAATTGAAGTGATCTGTGTGCAGTGGCCCTTTTGCCCTTAGTGCTGCAATGTTGACATTGCTGCACTAAATCTGCCCACAGTGGCTGTCTACCAGACAGCCACTGGGGGCGCTTCCTGCATCGTAACGGAATTTTATTCCGATATCTGACACTGGATGTCCTCACGTTCTGCATGAGGACATCCAGCATCAGATTTTTTTCCCATGGGAAAGCATTGAGTCAATACTATCCTATGAGAAGGTCTAATGCGTGCGTGGATTTAGCCGCAGATGCGCATTAGCACCCACTCATCGCAGGACGTTGGAGGGGGTAGAGCGGCGGCCCAGCGCTGAGGGACATGGGCGCTGGAAAAAGGTAAGTAAAGTTTTTTTTGTTGTTGTTTTTTTTAACCCTTTATTTACCCAGGCAGGGGAGACGCGAGGGAGAGGGGGTGCAGAGGGAGCTATAGTGCCAGGAATACAGCTTTGTATTCCTGGCTCTTATAGTATCCGTTTAATTGCTATCAGAATACTACCATATGCAAAATGACAGAAACAGACAAAATAAAATGACTTACAATATCTCTGACTGCACACACAAAACATAGCTTTACATTATGACGACACACCAAATACACCCAATGCTTATTTGTGCATGGGGTGTACCTGTTTTTTTTTTTTTTTTAATTCTTTATTTATAATGACAAGCGTACAATAAAGGTGCTGTACCTGTTTAAAGGCATAACTGGCAATTTTGCTTAGGCAGCTCTCCATATGCCAATGTCTAGAATGGGAGCTGTGTACAATTGGGTCATTGCTCTGGACAATTGGAGCTGTCTGAGCAACACAGGAGTGTTGCCAAGTGTCCTATATTTTAAAAGCTGCCTCTTATGAGGCCTAGCAGAGAAGGGATTGCTTCCTGTAGCTTTCTTTTGCCATATGCATGATTATTACTATATTTACTGTTTATTTTAAATAAAGATCATTGACTGCAAAGATTATACACATTTTGAAGCTTAGGTCAACTATAATTCATATTTGCATGTTTGTGTTGAGAGTACCACTATGACAGGCAAATTAGAGAACAAACAAACAAAGGAAAACCAAGTTTAAATATGTTTAAATATATTAAGAAATTTTTTTTTTTCAAGAATTTACAGAAAAAATGTTTCAAGGATTAAAAAAAAAAAAACAGGAAAAAAAATTGTGAAAATCCCTCGCGTTCAGCAAAACGATTCAGGAAGGAGAATTACAGAGAACACACGTCTCATCACAAGCACGTATGTTTAGGTTAATAAGGAAGGCGTGTGCATAGAACTTGCTTTTGCTTGTGTGAGTAATTTTTTTTTTTTTCTTTTGTAATTCTTTATTTTTGGTGTGCGTAAGATTAACAAGCATGCTTGTCGAGCCACAACAGCTTCGACAAGTTCCACAATAACATTAGCATGATTAGGAATAATGGCACGCATTTAAAAAAAAAAAATGTTTTAAGTTGTCTCAGGCTGATCATCAGTGAGTCAAACATTTCTGCATACTAGAGAAACTCAGCTAAAGTAATATATGGAATAAGAAAACACATGAAGCGTAATAATTATAGGCACAGGTTTCACACACTGTAAACATGAAATAGAAGGTAACTGTAAAGCATGTCAGATAGCTTTGCCAAAATAATAAACCCTCCAGGAGGACTCCCTTGTAGGCAAGAAATGGATGCTCTCCGTGCAGTGATAGAGGGGCAATGTTGCAGCGTATCACTGATCCCAGCCAAAAGTCCCCCGTGTTCCTTGTGGTTTGTTGCATCGTGTGAGATTTTTCACTCTCCACTTAGCTCTCCAGAGTGTTGCAAGACGCGTTTTTCCGTGCCACAGATCACAGCCAGACCTCCACTGTGTAAAGGGACTTGAATGGTCCGTTCAGCTGTAGCAGGGCTGCAAGACATCATTTGCAGGGATCGGAGGGGCATGTGGCGTCGGCCATCTTGAGTATAATTGTTGCGATAGTGCAGTTGTCATACCTGGCATCCCGCGCCGTCCCGGTCCCGCTGTCCGTCCTCTCGTCTCGGGCGTCGCGCGCGCGCATCTGGGAGAGCGCCCGGGGACGTGTGCACGCGCACTAGGTAGCCGGCAGGGATATCGTGGACTCCAAATTTAAAGAGATAGTGACCTATTACCACTATCTATTTATACCTCCTTCAATTCTGTCCCTGCCTATCCGCATTCACCTTGCCCTATATTAACCTCCTTCTGACATCACTTCCTTGCCCTGTCGTGGTTTATTCTAGCCTGAGAGTGCGTTCTTAGTAGTTGTCTTTTCTCTGGTTCCTGACTTAGGTTTGTTTATTGGTTATTCTTATTTCTGGCTCCCTGAACTTGGCTCTGTCTATTTCGTTTTCCCGTATCTCTGTATCCCTGACCTTGGCGTGTTTGACTATTCTTATCTCTCATTCCTACGTTAAGTCCGTCCACTTTAAGGTCCGGTAATACGTCTATCTGTGTTCGCCTTTATTGTTCTCTGGTTTGCGTGTTGGGGAGTATAACCTTGACAGCAGTACACTCCCCGTTTGGTAAGGGAACCTCCACGAAGTAGACCGGGATCACCCTCACCAGTCCAGAGGGCGGGGAACAGAGCACCAAACAGCATCGCGGATCAGGAGCGGAGATCGGCTGCTCCTCCACTCCTCCACTCCTCTAGGCAAACCATGCCACGAGCCAGCTCTCCATCAGCGTGGACACCCGGAGGCATCACACAGGCTTAGGAGCATCCCTCCTCAATCCAGGGGCACCATGGAGACAATTCTAATCATCAGTGGGGGGTATGAACAGCAGTTTCCATGCATTTTATAAATTTTGGTGCCGGAGCTGATTCTGGATGCATCTGTCCGGAATGGCCGTCAGGCCCCAGCCCCGTGAGCAGTTTTCAATGACTCAAATGAGAAAAGGCTACGTAGAGGTTTGTGGGGAAAGGCAGATGTACGTTTTTTATTAGATGTCCCACCACTTCATCTTAGAATTCAGATAGAGGGTGGGGCAGCTAGAACAATCTCAGTCCCAAACAGGATATTCTTTTCTTTACGTGATGTCTTATAGATGCAATTATACACCTTTGGTGCCTGGAATGTCCCACTTTGGTGGCACTTTAGTTCTTCAGTTGGAAGTGTAATTAATCTGTAGTGGTTATGGTGCCAGGAGTGCTCTGATACTGTCCCAGTTTAATTATTCTAACAATTCTAGAATTGTTTTACAACTTACCCGGGCACCCATGTTTCTTCCAGTCTTCTCATGCACGAGAATCTGGGTGGCTCTGAGGATGGCTGATCATATACTGTGCTTCTTGACTGAGGGTGCTCAGTGATGCTCTCAGCCAGTGAGTGTAGCCTTATTTAGTTCAATAGCTGAATTTCCCTGCAAGAAGAGCCCGGAAGCAGGGTATGTAGACTGTGCAAGTGGCTGTTGTTATAAAAGGTATCCATGTTTAAAATGGAATAATGAGGCAAAAATGTGATTCTTTGTTAAGCTAATTTGCATATGCCCACCCAGAATCCCTTGCAGTAGTAATATCACTGCAAATTTGAGAGTTCTATGGGAAAAGCAAGTCTTATGGCTTGACTGGTGTGCAGATCTGGTTTTAACAATGTATTGACTATCCACTGACTTCAGATGTGATGGATTTTAAATCACCTTTTACCTACCATAACTTTTTTGGTTTGTGTGTTTATATTATATGTGACTTTTAAAAAATGCAAGTCTATTCATAATCATGTGACAACATGACCTAAAACCCTTAACCCATATGAAAGAGCTGTTTATTGTTTGCAGTTTAGTGAATAAACCCCAGATACAAAAGTACAATAAGAACACGTTAAATAATAGAACATTATGGAGTCCAGATGGCTCCAATGCTGATACTTTGAAATAATAAGAAAACATCTTACTCCAAACCTAAATACAATGAGCAGTACGATTCTAGCATATGGCAGTGCTCCCAGTAATTTTAACATAAGAAGAATGATGGCTCTTACCAAGCCAATGAAAGATTTATATATTTTATACAAGCACATTCCACTTTTATATTATAAAAAATATCAAATTGTACATTGAAATGGGTCCTAAGTAGGTAACAAGGAACAAATTCACTGGTAGTGGGTATTCTGTTACAAGTTGAGGTCAGGGAAAAAAAACAACTATAGCCTTCACCCAAAACATGTTCTGTTTGTTATCAAGATTATAGATCGAATTATATCCAGTGCATATATTTGCAAAGCTCAGAAACCTTAAATTGTTTTTATGTAACACACTTATTGTACTTGCTTACCTATTGGCATCATAGAGCCTTTTTATAAGGGTCACAAACCCAGTGGTGATAAGATCTACTGTATTTACAAATTAGCTTTGGATCAACATTCTAAAAGTGATGCAGTCACCACGGAAACCTTTGAAAAATATGGCTCCATAACTATCACAGTGGAATGTGGTAGTTATGGTACTTTTAATATTTATTTAAAGTGAACCTGTTATGTACAAATGTAGAGTAAATACTTAATTTATGGCTTAAAAAATATAGTATAGTAAAATTATAGTGTTAGGAATAAAGACCTATATTCTTAACACTATATTGCCCTCTGATCCCGAACTCCCCCAGTGGCAAAAGTTCTTTTTAAACGTCCTGATTCCAGCACCGATGACCCTTGGTGCTGAGTCGTGTTCTTCCTCCTTGACTTCAGCTGATGGATGGGGACCTACTGCACATACACAGCAAGCACTGCGAATACATTAGGCCTTCTTCCCCTTATGCTTTCCTATGGGGTTCAACATGCTGGACATCATTATGTAACTAATCTTAAATTAAAGGGACACTATAAAGACACCCAGATAATTTCAAAGAGATAAAGTGGTCTAGGTGCCTATAGTGTCCCTTAATTTATAGTGTTCTTTAATTTAAGATAAGTTCCTCAGTTGCATTAATGGCATTCTACAATTCCTAGCACAGAGGTGTGACTGCTCACACAGCTACCTATGGAATCCATATTTTAATTTAACCGTTGTTTATGACATAGAGAAAAAGATCTGATGCCTTACTATGTCCCCAGCAGTGCCACTTGTCATGAAGTATTCCTTTGATGCATTCTCCTACTTGCCTGACAATGCAGATCAGTGACAGATGATGTCATCACATGTCCTTTTTGTCATCATATGTTGGGTGTTAAATTTAAAGTGACTTTTCTTTGAATTTCCAATAATTCTCACATTCGCTAATAACCATCATATTGATTGTTGATTTACAAAACCTGAATTTGTGGATTATTGCCCCAAAAAATCATTTGCATTTCTCTTGTCAATTCTACAGACTTTCCTGACTAGCTAATAAAGCACATAGCCTTTGAATATTGATTGCTGACATAAATATAAAGAGCTAATCAGTCAAAAATCTTCACAAAACTTTCCACTTCTTTTCAAAGTTATATTTAATACAAAGTAAGGGGGTACTTTCTTTTTTTTTTTTTTTAATACAAAAGCTTTAAAAAAAACCCACAAAAAACAAACAAACAAAAAAAAAAAACCTCAAACACACTATAATATAACATTATTTATTTCCTTGTTTGTGTGTTGGAATTTGTCTCAATTGAGTACCCACAATACACTGCAAGAGCATGTCGATGTGGAACAGGACACTTACAGAAATAATTATATCTCAGGAATATGAATAGTGCATGAGAAGACATGATATCTGATCCACGTCATAGACAAACTCTTACCTGGAGCAAGGTATGTCACATACCCTGTGGAAAATGCATTCAGTCCATTTTAAACTGTTCATTTACAGCTACAGTTACAAAAAAGGAGTGGCTTTGGAAATTGGTTTTAAACTAAAACTGCACCTGTCGGGAAAACGTGACTTTTGAAGACGTTTTATTTATACAGGGAGAGTTGCATGTCAAGATATAGCGAGGGGTACATTGTAACCATGATGCAATTGTCTGTGGATGGACTGGGTGACATCGGAAGTACAGAATACTTTGTGTCCTTTAATAGGTGCCAACGTGTCCATAAATAAAGAACCACATAGAAGGTCTATTAGCTGGTTAAATAGTTGTATCCATTTATTATTTTTAATGTTATCATTTATATGGCGCCAACAATTATAGAAAGGCATATAAATATTAGAGGCAAAGAGGGCCCTGCGCAAATGAGCATACAATTTAAATTATAACAAATTCATTAAAAACTGTGTATACTGATAGCTTTATCACCGAAGAGTTAGTTTAGAAGTGACAAGTAATATAGCAAGAGGGGAACATGTGATCAATATTGGCATCGGTTTAAAGGAAGACACTCATCCAACCTGGCACTAGACAGATTCAATTAGAGGAGGGTGTAACTGCCTAAGCATGTCACGGCTGGATATCTGGGAAGATCTAAACCATGGATCGCTTTTTGGATGGCCCAAGGCCAACCGATATATTAGATTGAAAATGTTTATTAAATTTTTTTAAATTTTTTTTTAAAGATAGTTCAACTTACCCTTTCTCACATAACCTGTATATCTACTGTAGAAACAGCCAAGTTTCAGCCAGCAAGCTACTGATAATGTAGAAGGCCCTGGAGCTACCATTTGTCATGTTTGTGGGAACCTGAAACCACGTTTCCTGGTTCTGGCTTTTTTTTTTTTTTTTTAAATGTGCTGGAACTTTAAAGGTTACGCCAAGCATCATAACTACTGTACAGCCCACTGTACTGGTTATATAGCCAAGCTCAGAATCTCCTATCCTGCCAGGTGGGGTAATTTCGGGTTCTGCATAGCTGCAGAAGCCAGATACCAATCCTGCCGCATTCAATGGCTGAGAGCGCCAGCTGACCGGTCCCAACTCTTGCTAATGCCATCGCAGTGATGCTGCTGGAGGTGGAGTTACACTTTCGGCAGCAAATGGGCTACGCTCTATATGTGCAGAACGTCAAAGCAAAGTGCTGCACATAGAGACTACAGGCACTATGACCACTTCAAATCCAGTGGATATGGTGCACGGAGTATCCCTTTAATAAAACTCTGATGTGACATTTTCCGAAATATGAGAATACCGTGTAAACTGTGTTGGATAAATTAAATTAGATAGGCATCCCCCTATTTATCTGCTTATGTGGTAAAGGTGGGATTGATCTCAGGCGAAAACTACTGGACCTTTGTTGGGTCATCCTAAAACATTTCTGAGTATACGGTGACAAATTAAATGTGTGTAAATGTATGTATAAGCATTGGCAAAACCCCACACACAGCCCTTCACACAGGTCCCAAATAGGCATGTGACAAAACTTGCACGTACAGACCAAAACTCTACCTTAGGCTACTGGTCTTAGTGAGATGGGATTTTACATTGTGAACTTGTCTGAGCAGGGCCATCCCTGCCTCTCGTTTCTGTTAACTTATGTTAACTTGCGTGTACAATTTCTATAATATATATTTTTTTCTTTTCTATACATGGATCGCTTTTTGGATGGTCCATTGCAAAATATATTGTCTGTCTCTAAATATGCGGAACACTGAATACTCTACACATTAGCAATTTTGCAACATGACTTTTGCTATCACAGTGATCAAACTGTCACCCGTTAGAATAGATCTTATGCATTTTTTGCGTTGTTTCTAATGATTTAATGTGGGGACAGCATGTCCACATTTTACACTAAAAATAGAATTTATCTACACAAGTAGGAGATGTTTTCTAGTCTAATCAAATAGGTGAGATTACAGGATATGTTCATGGTCAATCTTTGCTTTAAACTTGGATCTGAAATCAGAAATTCAAATGCTGTGCACAAATTGCTAATAGTGGAAAACCTGGTTAAAGTTTAACTACCTTCGTAAACTATGCTGTGTCTGTAGTTTGTTTAAGTGGACTGTAGCCTGATTGTGCAAAGATATAACTGGACTTTGGGGCCTTTATGGGTTCATTTGTTTTAGCTGTTGTGTCACGGTACGTTTTTTAGACTCAACCTCTGGAAAGTTGTGAAAGAAAGTTGTTTTGTGTAAGTACAGGTTGCTAATCTGTATCCAGTGTTCATTTTGTGACTCCATTTAATACATTTATACGTCTAATATATTTTTATTCAGATAAATAAATATTAACGATGATAAGGCATACCATAACACAATGATTTGAACTGACATACTATTTATTATACGATGGTAAAATTAATGCTTAGCAGTTGGAAGCACTGATATGACATGGGACCAGCAGTGTTTTGCTTGAACTGTAAAAACAATCTCTCCTGTTTCATAAAGGTGCTGACGGCTTCTAAAAACAATTAGCGCTGTAGTAATTGTGATAACACTCCAGGTGAAAAGGATGCGGAGTACCTAGCTGCATGCTTTTATGTTGTTACATGGAGGAGATTTTGTCTGTAAAATAAAATGGAGACATACGACATACGAAAGATTTGACAATTTACCTTGGGACTTCCAGGTGCCAGATATGAGTGTTCATTAACGCCAATGAGCAAAGCCTTGCCAGACAGGGCTTACTGATTGCGATAGCGGATGCTCTCGGCCAATCAGCCAATGATCTATGCACTCTGACGCCTGCCTTAGCGCAATGCAGGAAGTTTTTCGGTAGCCAAAGAGGCACCTAAGGTAAGTTATCAAACTATTTGGAAATGCTTTGACTACTTAACCTTTAAGAGTGCCAGGGCCCTCTTGGCACTATGACTACTGAAGTGTGCTGTAGTGGTTATGGTGCTTGGAGTAAAACCCTTCGAATGTAACCCAAGTAAAACCGGGTTTGACAAAATTGCTGCAGTTCCACAAGCCATAAAAGAATTGTAGGATTTAATGGCACATATCGTTCACACACACACATTTTATTACTCATATTTAAAATATAGTGTGTATGTTTCTACACATACACTTTATCAAAATATAATGCATTTATATTAATTTATATTCATGTAGTATTTTTGTTAATGTTAATACATTGTGAATTTCCTGCAAAATGAAAGGGAGCATGCCTCTGCCAGAAGAGATTAGTTTTTACAGAATTACAGCACTCCTCGGAATGCAAACAGTTCTCTCTTTATAAGTTGTTTGTGATAATAATGGTCTTGGTCAAGTTGATAACTCCTTGATATGAATGGAATAATACGCCATTGTGAGGTGTAATGTGAAATTAAAGGTTTGCTATTACAGTTCTGTATAGAAGGTGCACGGTATCAAGGTATTTTGGATGAGGTTTTTTTTTTTAACCTATGGATGTAATAATATACTAGAATCACTCTAAGCATTGCTGGTGTAAAATGCATTCGGTCCATCGCTTGACTTACCCTCCCCTGCCCTTGTCTCCAATTGCTATTTATATTTGAGTTCTATTAGTTATCTGGCATTGTTCCTCATAAGTTGTAACGAGCCAGACTCTGCCAGAGATTCCAATTTTTGGCTGGTCTTTTGAGCTATGATGCTGGATTCAGTCTTGAATGTAACGAAAAGGGGCGCTAGATTTTCAAGTAGATTTGATGGATTTGTAATTAGAGCAATACCAAAAGTTCCTGTGTCCTCATGAGATCTGCGTTGGTTAACCTCCTATAGGGTGGCGAATAGAAGAGGCGTAGATTGAGGGGAGAATTTTGAGCACAGAATGAAGAGGGTTAAAGGGCACCTGTCATGCCCCAAGCAACCCATGCTCATTAGACTGAGTAAAATATTGTATCTATACATTGTGCTAGCAGTTCTGCTAGCAAATGTATAGATTAGGAGAAAAACCTGTTTAAAAAACTTTTTTTTTTTAACACAGCTGTCAGTCAGTGCCTCGGCGTGCCAAGATACTGGGAGAGCAGAAAAGACCTCCCACAGGAAGTCCCTCTGTTCTCCTCCCATAGCAACTGCAACACATGCGCTGTGGTTTCTATTGGTGACTCATCCCCATTTACATTTTTGCACCACTTTTTAGCACAGAAGACTTACAATGCAGTGTGTGCCTTGTCTGTCCCATGACTGGACATCAAATGATAAGTCTTTAAAATATTTTTTTTTTTAGAAAAATTGACTTAATATGAAAAACAGGCTAACAATAAATAGGTGATTTTCACTATTTTATTCAATGTGTAAAATAGAGCTAGGCTGAAATAACTCCAAGCTTGACAGGAATATTGTGCCAACCCTGAGTTTGAATAAAGGTTTATGTCCTTCCCAAGTCACTTATACCGGCCTCAAATAACGCTACTTAAAGAAATGTAATAAAAAAAACATAAAATGATACTCCAGCCTTCTTCCTTCCTATAATATGTTATGGAGATATTGCATTACAATTTGAAAAATCATTATTACAAAATAGATACTTGAACATGCATTATTTTTGTACATTGTCCTCACAGAAGCTGCATGTTGCCAATAGACTGTCTGTCTGAGATGAACATATCCCTTAAAATTCTGAATCATGAAAAGCCATGCGTTAAATGCTTATGAAATGATTTGTTGTCTGCTAAGCACTCAAAAAAATAATGTATATGTTTATCCTAATCCCGCGGCATTTGTGATATGTAAGCTATATAGCTCCTTTCTTTATTAAAACATTGGCACAGTGCCATCTCAAGTTTTAGTCAATGGAATATTAAAGACAGGTTTTAGATATTCAGGATGCCTGTGAAATTGAAAATAGTTCAGATTTAATTCATACATTCTGGCAGCATGCCTACCTTGTGTTGTTGTGAAGATAACTGGTGTCATTTCAAAGAGCAGTTGGCCGATGTGCTTTTGTATAGAACACTGGAACCTTCAAAGATCAACTGTCTGAGAGATGAACCAATTGTATTAAAGCAGAAAACTCTATTTCAACTTCAACGAAAAAACCATAAACACTTTCCGAAAATATAAAGTTTTTTTTTCTTTTCTATGTTTTAAATAGTATGACCTTGCTCTTGTGTATTTCTGTTGAGAAATGTTTACTTATTGCAGAAGTATTGTCCTGTCTCCCACATGAGCTTTAGTTTTTTTTCTGGCACAGAATTAAAGGAAATGTAGTCCAGCAACTACAGAGAGGGGCAGTTTGAGATATGTTTCTAAGTGGATTTAGGAAAGACATTACTTATTGCGGGTTTAAAGCGATGCTATAGTACAAAGCTGTATTCCTGGCACTATCGCTCACCCTGATTTCCCCCTCCCTTGTGCTCTCCTTTCACGGTAAATAAAGGCTTAAAAACCCTTTCTTTACTTACCGATGTCCCTCTGCGCTGGTTCGATGCTTCACCCCTTCCTCCGTCCCGCAACGTGCAGGCTCTAATGCGCATGCGCGTCAAATGCGCACGCATTAGACCTCCACATAGGAAAGCATTGAATCAATGCTTTACCATGGGGAAAAAATCTAACGCTGGATGTCCTCATGCAGAGCGTGAGGACGTCCAGAGTCAGATATCGGACGAAAGGTCCGTTTCAAATCAGGAAGCCCTCTGGGCTGCCTGGAGGCAGACTTAAAGCTACAATGTACAATAATGCAGTTTCTATAGAACTCCAATGTTTTACGTTGCAGCACTAAGTGCAAAAGGGACACTGTACCCAGACCACTTCAATGAGCTGAAGTGGTCTGGGTGCCTAAAGTGTCCCTTTAGACTTCTTTTGTGAACAATATATGTGAGTGTTTTCATCATATCGTATTGATTACTGTAATTGTGCTAGTGTACGACTAATTTTTTTACTGTGTATTTTTTCTGTATTATTGCAGCTCTGATTGGGTGGAGATTATCGAGCCGCGCACCCATGAGCGGATGTATGTAAACCTTACAACTGGAGAATGCGGTTGGGAGCCACCACCGGATGTCCGCGTGCGCCAGTCTGGTGAGAACCAGTGGTGGGAACTGTACGACCAGCAGAGTGGTCGCTTCTACTATTACAATGCCCTGAGCCGTCAAACCGTGTGGCATCGTCCGCAGCAATGTGACATCGTTCCCCTGGCAAAGCTACAAGCTGTAAAGCGTGCATCACAGCCAAATCTCTTTGGACGAGCCAGCCAGGAGCGAATCGCTCATTCCGGTAGCATCAGCAGTGATGGAGGAAACACACCTATCGATATTCTAATGTTTCAGGATGCAGAGTTTTTAAAGGAAGGAGCCAAGAGGAAGGGAGACAGTGTGGATAGCAGAAAGGATTCTGGGAGGTGAGCTGCTCACAATGCTTGTTTATGATGCCGTTGTGTCAGTTTTGCAAATTGTATGTATGTGTAAGTGAATTCATAGGGTATTTAATCTAAACACTCAATTAGAGCTAGTTGGAACTGTAATATGACACCCAGCAAAATCTAAAGTGATTTTTTTTTCTCTCTCTATCGAGACCGGTCTGTGCAAAGCCTTAAAACCAGTAAAACAAGATTACAATAAAGCATTTTTTTTTTCTTAAAAAGGGAGAGGCAGCTTTGTGTATATGCTAATGTTGTTCAATTAACTGTCTGCAGAGGGTTTTCGTATGGTCCAAGGCCTGCATTGATACTGCTGGGTGGATAGTAACCCTTTCGTCATCAAGTAATTCATTCAATATCCTAAAAAAACAATCTGCTATCATGTCATCACTAAGGGGTTTAATCATTAAAAAGGGAATGGGAAGGGGGCTGGGCTTGGATGCAAAGCGGGACAGTCGCAGCTTGCTTGAGCTCCCGAGAAAAACCTACACAATAAGCTATTTAGGGGGTGCAATTACTCTGCAACTTGAATCCCAGACACTGGCACACACGCCTGGCACCCCGATAGCAACTCCGGTGCTGGCTCCAGGCTTTGCCACTGCGGCTGTTCGACGACTGCGGCCTCCAACTTATTGTGGCCTGGTGTGGCTTCGGCGGGAGACGCGGCTGATCTCTCCCTCTGGTGCTTCCCGGACCTACTTGCTGACTGCCAGAGCTGGTTTTTGCCGGAGCTTTTTTATTTTATCAAAAAATTGTGCTCTCTGTCAACTGCCATGATGCTCTGAAATGTTTATGTAAGCGTGTTCCACGCTGTTGTGGCGTTACATGCATGTTTGTGAACCTGAGCACTACCAAATATAATAGATAAAAAAAAATTATAATTATATTATATATATATAATTTTTTAAATTTTTTTTTATATCTTTATTTTGGTAGTGCTCAGGTATATATAATATATATAATTGCAGAATGTATTCTTAAAAAGTTAGTCCAAGCACTATGGTGACTTCAGTGAGTTGAAGTGGTCATGGTGCCTGAAACGCTTTGAAACACTGCACATGCAAAGTTTAACCCCTTTGCTGCAGGAGGTGTAACTTAAACTTAGGAGCGTCGATAGATAGCTCAGAAAAAGAGTTCCCAGCTGGCTAATGTCAATTCTGTGCATATCCCTATGCACAAAATTCCATTCATTGGCTGAGAGTGGTCAGCTGATGCTCTCAGCCAATGGATTACCTGCGGGATCGAGTTCCAGCTTCTGCAAGTCTGCAGAAGCTTGTTGTCGTCACTGGTGACCCAGATAAGGGGGCAAAACTTTGCTAAATAGTTTGCCCCATTAGTGGTAGCAGCGTATTGTAGTAATTAGGATTCCTTGAGTAATAGTCAAGCTGTCACTCTAGCGGAGTTGGAGAATATTTCCATTTCCCTACAATTTGCTTTTTAGTAGATAAATCCCTTAGTATGTTCTCTGTTTGTATTATTTTGCCTCATTGACCTGTCCCGAAATTAGTCAGTGTTTTTTCTTTGAATGATGTAAATCAAGGCCATGACAAAGAGTGTATTTTATTTTATTAATAGTGTTGTCAGCCATCTGATGTATGTTTATACATCATTTTACAAGCCCAGTCACAAAAGAAACAAGTTGATTAATTCCTCCTTTCAGGTCGTGCATACTTTGTGCACTGCAAATTCACTCCAAGCTATTGCAAGATGGTATTTGGCTCCCCAATGGAATCCTATATTGTTTATTTTGTTAATTATAAGCAGAACGTTTCCACTGAAAAGAATAGAAAGTAATGAAACATTTCAGATTTAGCTGCAAATCCCACCTCTTGGAACACATGCTAAAGTTATACATTGCTGGAGTCATTTGCATATTGCTACCCAGACTGCCTTGCAGATGACTGTGATCTCTGTGTTTAGGGATTTTGTGAAATCTCAGTTATTTGTAGGTATTGGTGTTTATTCAAAAGACAGAATTATGATGAACTGAAATCAAATTTGCTAAATTTACAAATATAGGCCTTGATTTAATAAGCTTTCCAAATGATTTCACTGAAAATACTCCCATAGACCGTAAAGTGACTTCTGCAGATAAACTATTTGCAGCTTTTTCTAACACTAGTATTGAATAATTTGGAAATATTATAAAATCAAGGCCATATTTGGCAAAAAAGACAAATATTACCCAGTAATGCCAGGATGTAAAATGTTCCGGGCTGCCTAATGTCAATTCTGTGCATATCCCAAAGCACAGAATTACATTAGTTGGCTGAGAGCGGTCAGCTGATGTTCTCAGCCAATAGATGGCCTTTAATTGTTCTAATTGATTAACAAAAGAAAATTCAACCAAACCAGGTGTACATGTGACAGCAGTATGAGCTGAGCTTATTGTGGACGCAGAATTTGATGCTGTTTGTGGACATTCCGTGGGTGTTGGATGTCTATTGATGTGATATAAGTGAAATGCATTCTGGATATCTTGTTACAGTCCTTTGGGCGATCGTTGGCTGTTACAAACTTCTGGTTACATTTTTGAGCTGGCTACTAGAATCCACTTACATTTGTCAATTTCTTACTCCCGCCCTAGACATGTTTAGGTGTCCATCTGTACACATTGCAGGGATATTGGCTGGTTTTTATGCTCTGCAGATCTCCTTGCAATGATCAAATAAACTCAAAAGATGCAAAAAGTAAACATCAGAGTTATGACAAACCTACCAATTAAGCGCTAATAAAAAAATATTAGCGTGTTTTGCCATTTGAAGGATATTAAAGGGACACTTTAGTCACCAGAACAACTACAGCTTATTGCATTTGTTCTGGTAAGTAAAATCATTACCTTCAGGCCTTTTGCTGTAAACACTGTCGTTTCAGAGAAAATGCAGTGTTTACATTACAGCCTAGTGATAACTTCACTGGCCACTCCTCAGATGGCTGCTAGAGCTGCTTCCTATCCCAGTCTTGCCTAGTTTGAATCACAACATTCAGTATCTCCTCCCTCTGCACACTGACCTTTCTTCATAGAGATGAATTGATTAAATTCATCTTTATGAGGAGATGCTGATTGGCCAGGGCTGTGTTTGACTTGTGCTGGCTCTGCCCCTGATCTGCCTCCTTCACAGTCTCAGCCAATCCTATGGGGAAGCATTTTGATTGGCTCAGTACAACACTTCTGATGATGTCAGCAGGCAGCTTGCCATTATGAGGCAGACAAGGACAAAAAACAGCAGCTTCAGGCTTGAATACAAGTAAGATTTTACTATATTTAGGGAGGCAAGAGAGGGCCAGTGGGACTAGATGAAGGTTTTAACCCTACAGAGTCAGAAATATATGTTTGTGTTCCTGACCCTATAGTGCTCCTTTAACTTCTGCAGTATAGTCCCTGCTCTCAGTGCTTGGGATTGTACATTTATCTTGTGCACTACTGATTCTGCTTCCAGACATGGCAAATAGGCCTTTGAAAAGTTTATTCACAGCAAACAGGCAAATGGGTTGTGACAAGGACACCTTTTATGGCTAACAGATGTTCTAGCTTTCTTCCTCCCTGGGCTCCCAACCAAGCCTGAACTAGATTGGCAGCGAGCAAAATCCTGCTTTAACCTTTTTGGCACCAGAGGGTTTTCTCACCCTTCTGGCAGTAGAAAGGTTTTGCAGAGGGGGGAAAAAAAAGGACTGTATTTTATTTCACCTGGATGTGTTTTCACAATTTCACTAATATTTCCCAGCCGCAGTACTTGGCAATATTTATTGCCTATATCAGAAAGGGGGGGGGGGGTAACCACTAAGTAATTAAACCAATTCAAAATGAAAAACACAATTGACACACTTCCCAACCTTACTGTAATAAAATGTAACCTTTATTAGATCAATAATAATAATAATTATTATTTAGTAGGCACCAACATATTCCGTAGTGCTGTACAATAGGTGGACTAACAGACATGTATTTGCAACAAGACGAGCTGCATGCAGAGGAACAGAGGGTGCTGAGGGCTCTGCTCAAATGAACTTACATTATAGAGGGTTAAATATACCAAATAGAAATAATGAAAAACATGCAATTGAAATATTATAGTCTGCTATAGTCCAGGGATTAAGGAGTCATTTGCATAGGGTAACTTAATATATAGGAAACTATGTCTATATATAGACAATGGAAATACTAAACTATATATCCTATGAGTCTAGCTAAATAGAAGATCTAGCTGCTAGACCAAAATAGTTGCAAGGCTGTGAGATGCGTGCAAATCACAATTATGCAGTATATACAAGTTAAATTCTTATTGCAGTATATTTCACTAATTAACAGAGTAGATAAGAAAAGTAGTGATAAATAATATTCTTCTGATGGACAGAAAGCATAAAAATAATAATAAAAAATGTATGATAGATCTCAGACGTACGCAATTGCAAAAGAAAGAAGAAAATCTACCACAACTAGAGGACATAGTCTTAAATTAGAGGGGCAAAGGTTTAAAAATAATATCAGGAAGTATTACTTTACTGAGAGGGTAGTGGATGCATGGAATAGCCTTCCAGCTGAAGAGGTAGAGGTTAACACAGTAAAGGAGTTTTAAGCATGCGTGGGATAGGCATAAGGCTATCCTAACTATAAGATAAGGACAGTGACTACTGAAAGTATTTAGAAAATTGGGCAGACTAGATGGGCCGAATGGTTCTTATCTGCCGTCACATTCTATGTTTCTATATAGGGCAAAGGATGAGCGCAGAAAAAGTAAATGTAAAGTTAAACTCCATAAATTCGCCAGAAGTACCAAATATATACAAGTCAGACTAAAGTAGAGGCAAAACAGACTGGTAAATATATTGGGTAACCATTAACAACACTAAAAAGCTATATAGTAAATAGAAAACACTAAATGAGTGTGAAGTATGGAAGGAATAAAATGTAGCAACCTATACACCAGAGGTGGCTAAAACGGTTTTTAAATTTTGTTATATATTTTTCTTTATTGTGGTTTTTTCATATACAGCTGAGACTAGGTGTTTAAACCATAGAACTACAGTACATTGCATTTGTTTCTTAAATGAATGTCACAATTTAGGTATTACCACCTATTAGCATTTAAAGGGACACTATAGTCACCCAGACCACTGCGTCTCATTGAAGTTGTCTGGATACAGTGTCACTGTCCCATTTAGTCCTGCAATGTGAAAAACTGCAATAATAAAATCCCCATAGGGTGAGGGAGGGGGACCAGAGGGCTCTATAGTGTTAGGAATACAGCTTTGTATTCCTAACCCTAAATAATTTCATCAAGTTCTAATTTAACTGACTCTACTCTTTATCTTCTACGTCTAGGGGGCTAATTAGATACCCAGTTGATTTATAACATCAGTACTACTATAGTTTGCCTACTTCAGGTATAAAAATATAAATTTTTTAGCAACCTTCCCGGCGGCAGTCATGAATGCTTTAACCTCTATGTGTAAGGACGCATCAGAGTCTTCCTGGCACCATACCAACTTCATTTTAATGAAGTTGTTATGGTGCCCGGAGTGTTCCTTTTAAACAGTACATTAGCTGCCCACTGCGCCTCCTGTTGCTTAGATCCCTGTACCAGTTGCTTAGTTCACCCAAATGGTTGGGCTGGCTTTGCACAATGTGCAAAAGGCCGCACTTCCTGGAAAAAAGCACGGATGTCATTAAAAGGAACGTGACAGTGTTTGATCTCCACCTCCGTTGTCCTGACATGGGTGTCAGTGGAGATCAAAATATTGACATTTCCTTTTTGTTTATAATAAGTCAATACATATATTCAACAAGTTGTGTCCGCACAGCCTTTTCTTTACTTTGTGCGTGCATATAAATATATCCGCAGTTACTTGTAAAAAGAAAACATGCACTTTCTTTCTTATGTAACTTTTACACATTCTCGCTGTGTCTCTTGTCCGTGCTTGCATGCATACATACATACACATATTCATGCAGTCTCCCATACACACCCAGCCTGGCACGGGAACAGAAGCTGTAGGGTTTGCTGAGTTGAGCAGCTGTTCCAGGAATCTGTTCTGTCAGCAGATAGGAGTGTGCTATCTCACCCTGTGCACAATACTTTCTTTCATGAGATAACTTGCTGGGTCCATGCAGCGTGGACAGCTGCAGCATTGTCTTGATTTGGGATTGGAGGGGAAACAACTCTACATGCCTTCTTGCTTCCATCATTAACCACAGTCTGCGAGAGACATATCCGCAAGACCCCTAAAATGTCACATGAGTCTTTCTCCACCGGAGTACCCAGAAATAAAAAAAACTTGCTCAGGACTCGATCGTTATGCTGTTTGCAATATGATATACAAGGGAGATATTCAGTCAAAAGTGATATATGTACCAGATATTAATTCTGTAAGAAACATTTTTGCAGAATATACCATGTTTTTTCTTAGCACAGAGTTGAAAGAACACTACATCCTTGCACCCCCTTATTTGTAGAGATAATATATTAAAAAGGAAGGCCCCACCATATATATATATATATATATATATGTTACCACTCTATTTTATTAGTTTGTGGCTGATCTGAAGGGACAAGTATGTGGCTGACAATTGTCAGTCAATACTGTCCTTTCTATTATCAGTAGGAGGACATTGAATGTCCTTCATATTGCTGCACAGGATTGGCTGATGGGATATGTAGTCCACCACTCAGTAGTAATTCAGTCCAAGAAGGTACCACTGTGCCGTTTTTATTAGTTAACTTAATAGCTTCATTAGTTTCTTACTTAATTCGTGCAGAGAGTTAAAACTTAAAGGCATGAAGCAGTTTTTGTGTATTTGGTGAAGCGGTTTTTGGTCACCCTCTCAAATCTTAGCCATAGAGGAGTTAAATCCCTTTTTTACACAGCCCTAGTCACACCTCCATGCATGTGACTTGCACAGCCTTCCTAAACACTTTCTGAAAAGAGAGACCTAATGTTTACACTTCCTTTATTGCACAATCTGTTTAATTCAGAATGTCCTATCTTCTGCACTGTTAATAGCCTTCGAGGGACCTCTCCTGTCTGTGATTAACGGGATCCTATAGTGCCAGGAAAACAAAGCTGTTTTCCTTGCACTATAGGTTTAATAGGTCCCTCCCGTGGGGCTGGGTTAGGCTATGCCTACGCTCCTCCCCTGCTTACGTGAGCCAGCGGGGGGAGACCTAATGCGCATGCGTGGCTTATCTCCCCATAGAAAAGCGTTATTCAATGCTTTCCTATGGGAGAAATCTGACGCGGGAGGTCCAAAAGGGACACAACACCCAGACCACTTCAATGAGCTGAAGTGGTCTGGGTGCCTACAGTGTCCCTTTAAATTCAATTTACAGAGCAGGAGATCAAACTTCTAAAGCAAGTTAACATCTTGCATTAATGAAAATACAACAATTTTTCATGCTGGCTGTGTCAGTCACAGCCAGGGGAGATGTGCCTAGGATTGCATAAAAAGAAACAAAAGTGATTTAACTCCTAAATAGCAGAAAAGTGACACTGCAGGGGCATGATATATACACCCAAACTGCTTTATTAAGTTTAGCTTGTTTTGATATCTATAGTGTCCCTTTAATGGTCTTGAAATGTAAATCTTGGAAAGTAGCCTTTTTGAATGTATAGGGTTATTTTAGGTAACAAGTCTACATTAAGCATATTACAAGCACGAGACCCTGGCGTTAGGAAAGATTTCTTTTCCTTATAGACAGGTGTTGGACGTTGGCTGATAGTACATAAATAGATGATAGTTTCTGTCTTTACAGGCAAGTGCATGGGGCGGCAGGTGTGATGAGTAATCCAGTATGAGCAGCGATATGAATCCACGCTGGCAGCTGTTATTTGCAAGTAGTGCTGCCAGGTTTAATGTGCGTGAGTGTGGAATGGGGTGGACATGGTTTAGGCTGAGAAAAAAAGACTGAGCATGTAGGAGAGGTGAGGATGGAACGTTTTCTTAGGGAGATTAATTTGATAGATTATAAATTGTTGGTGATCCAGACTAAATCTAAATTATTTTTATTTAAATGTTGTTATACATAGTTTTCTAATGTATAGTTTAATATTTAGTAATAATATTCATTTTATAATGTATTACTAATTAATATTCTTGTTTAGTTGTTTTTCTATGTTACTATTTAAAGGAGAACTATAGCGTTAGGAATAAAAATCTGCATACTTGGTTCTTTTCAAATTCCCAGCTCCAGTGCCTCCTTTGCCAGTGTACAAATCAATCCTCCTTGTAGAGAAGCATTGGGGACGTTATGCGCAAGCGCAGTGAGCTCTGCACGAGCATTTAAATTTCAACAGACAAAGCATTGAATCAATGCTTTGCTATGGGGCTTCCATGTCACGTGACCAAGTTTTACTGACTGAGTCATACTGACCGCCTCTAGAGGTGGACTTAATGATTTACATTGCAGGTTAAAAGGATAGGACCACTGCACGCAGAGCACTTTACCTCAGAGGATAGGAACACTGCACTCAGACCACTTCACATTAGGGGCTACTAACACTGCACCCAGACTTCACCTTAGAGGCTAGGAACACTGCACCCAAACCACTTCACCTTAGAGGCTAGGAACACTGCACCCAAACCACTTCACCTTAGAGGCTAGGAACACTGCACTCAAACCACTTCACCTTAGAGGCTAGGAACACTGCACCCAAACCACTTCACCTTAAAGGCTAGGAACACTGCACCCAGACCACTTCACCTTAAAGGCTAGGAACACTGCACCCAGACCACTTCACCTTAGAGGATAGGAACACTGCATCCAGACCACTTCACCTTAGAGGATAGGAACACTGCATCCAGACCACTTCACCTTAGAGGATAGGAACACTGCATCCAGACCACTTCACCTCACCTCAATGACGTGGTCTGGATGACTATAGTGTTCCTTTAAGAGTGAAATAATTTCAATATAAACAGTGCATCACAACTCAAAAGTGAAGACTAACTACACCCCTTTCTGTGAGGTGGGCAGAAAATGTGCTTCTGGGCTTCTTATGAGTTATAAATCCATTTAAATAGTGCTTCTTGAACACCAATTTGTAGTTAATTGAAATCCAACTCTCACAATTTAGGCTAAAATAAACAACCTGCGACTGTCGCTGATTTGGAGGATTATTTTAAATCGTCTCCTTTTGCCTAATTGGGTTTTCAGTACAGTACAAATTGGTCTTCTAGTGAATAAGCCTTTTTAGTACCTCTGTAAGTCTGGACTCAAAATAAAGTCATACTCTTCATTTTTTATTTGTAGCAATTTTATGCACCCACAAGTGAAACTGTTCTACAGGGATTTCACATGCCCCATAGGCAGAAAACCATTAAGAGAATGAAGTAAGACATTACATACCTAAGAGGCATACAGTCATTATGAAAAAGACAGCTAGCTGACTTGTTTCCTGTTCATAATTCTATTACTTTTTGAAGATAGTTTTATTTCCCTAATTACAAGTGTTTGTTTATTATTATGTTTGAATGTTTTTCTTGCAGCTCAGATCTAAAATAGTCTTTGTTTTAAGGAAATGAATATATTTAAAGTTCCAACAATACTCCGTGTCTCTTAGGGAGTTGGTAATGTATTTTACAGGAAAATGTCGTTTCCAAAAATGAATACTTTAATCTACAGAAATTCTTGGCATTCCTTCAAAGCCACATTAACTCTGGGTGTTTCTGGAATACACATGTTCAAGTCTCTGTTTATATATGTGATTGCGTTGTGTTGGTTCATCAAACACCGGGAGTGAATTATTGTATACAGTGTGAGGTCTTTTCTTGTTGAATATTAAAGGGACACTGTAGGCACCCAGACCACTTCAGCTCATTAAAGTGGTCTGGGTGCTGTGTCCCTTTTGCACCTAGTGCTGCAATGTAAAACATTGCAGTTCCACTCACTGGCTCCTGACTACAGGGTCCGCTCACTTCCAAGCACTTATACGATAGACTCCGACCTAGACCTGTATGCAGGACCACAGCTAGCCACCATGGGGAACCCATACAGGGTGGGATGAGGACGGTGAGGAACAAGGTCCATCACTTATCTCCCTCTCCCACCCCCCTACTCGTTATCCTCCCCCTACATCATCCAAAACATGACCCCTCTAGGGAAGCCTAAGGTTACCTAACTGTCCCCATTTACCACCTCTCCCCTACTTTCCCCCCTTACCTAGTCGAGAAGGAAAAGGGCACGCACCCAGTAGACGGGGAACCCCAGGGCACAATGCCCTACACATACCGCACACCGACAGTATTGAAGGAAAGAACGCGATGAACACCGGGTATATATCTGACTAGTAATACTACACCTGACATAGTGCCACTTGACACACGACTACTGTTACTTTGTTTTGTGTTTGAAGCCTGCGAGCCATAATGTTTCACACCAAAATATGAACCTGCGAGTCCACAACGTGTTGAATAATCACCCTTACCTCTGATCTCTCTACCCGAAACCTGCGCGTCTCACTGTCTTGTTACTTGTCTGCCTTACATAATTGTTGTTATGAAAAGAAAAAGACAAATAAAAATATATTTACAAAAAAAAACATTGCAGTTCCAGAGAAACTGCAATGTTTACATTGCAGCTCTAAGTCTGCCCTCAGTGGCTGTCTATCAGACAGCCACTACATTACTTCCGGAATCGTAACAGACTTTTGGTCCGTTATCTGACGCTGGAGGTCCTCACGATCTGGATGAGGGTCTCCAGCGTCAAATTGTTCCCCATAGGAAAGCAATGATTTAATGCGCATTAGACCCCGCTCGTCGCGGGACAGAGGAGGGGAGCGGAGCTTGGGGCGAGGGACATCGACGCTGGGATCAGGTAAGTAAATAAAGGGATTTTAACCTTTAATTTACCGGGTAAAAGGGCGCGCGAGGGAGGCAGAGGGATCAGTAGTGCCAGGAATACAACTGTTGTCATGTGTTATTTGCATGAGATGAAATGTGAAACATATTTTAGTGGTAAAATTAATTGGTATAGATAGCTGTTATGGTAGATCACAGGTTCAGGGGGAGAATCTTACCTTTACTCTAGTTTGCTGCTGCTGGCTCTGCTCCTGATCTGCCTGCTTGGCTGACATCATCAGAAGTGTTGAACTGAGCCAATCTTATTGCTTTCCCGTAGTATTGATTGGTTGAGCCTGTCAAAGATGCAGATCAGGGGCAGAGCCAGCACAAGTCAAACACAGCCCTGGCCAATCAGCATCTCATCATAGAAATGCATTTAATCAATGCTTCTCTATGAGAAAGGTTCAGCACCTCCATGCAGAGGGTGGAGACATTGAATGGCAGTCACACTGTGCAGCACTGCCCCATGAAGCACCTCTAGCAGCCATCTGAGGAGTGGTTATTAAATGTGTCCCTAGGCTGTAATGTAAACACTGCATTTTCTCTGAAAAGACAGTGTTTACAGCAAAGAGCCTGAAGGGACTGATTGTACTCACTGCTGCTATAAGTAGCATGTTTTTGTGCATTCACTATATAACTAGTCCCTTGGGCGATGCTGACAAATAGGGGTACCAATCCAGTTAAATGAAATCTATAAAAGATTAAAATGTACCTAATGCAGTAATAGCTGGAACATAGCTGCGTGATATCTCAGAAATGAAAAATGTCTTTCATAGGGACGAGAAGTAAAGAAAGCAGCAGATCAGTGTGCAGAACAAAACAGAAGCATTGAGAAGACAGCGCATGTGCAGCAATCCTTGCTATTTGTGAATCCAATGCTCCTCTATGTGAGAAGCACCTGATTGTTAGGTTTATGATGCTTTTACTTTACTATTTTTATTTTTATTTTATAGGGGGCCAATTATTCTAAAGGTAAATATAAGCAATGGTAATTTAAATAAAAAAACATTTTAAAAAAAATATTTGTTGATTTAGTGCTCCTTTAATAATAAACTTTTTCTAATAAGGATAAGATTTAAGAAATCAAATATTGGCAGTACTGCCTTTTATTCTTTCAGTAGTGGAAAAATTGTCCATCCCCAAGATGTGTGCACGGAATGCTGAGAATTGATCATAGTGGACAGAATGCTTCTCATGTCTAAAAATAAATATTGTGCCTACAATGAATGGCGTTAATCTCCATAAGAATTTCAAAACCGCTTCTGAAGTACACTGGTAACATTGTTACAGAGACCCTGTTACGACGGAAAAATCACTCAATAATGGGTATTGTTTCCTAGAACAATGACTTTCTCCCAGTATGCCACAGGCGCATTGATTAGATTGAATGCAGCCATTAACACGTGTTTTAATAAGCGTTGGCATTAATATTGGGATTCTCATCTGCTAATTAATTAAAACGAATAAATCAATCTGGCTAGGACTGTGGAGATCTCTCAAGTAAGGTTTTGAATACATGACATATATAGGCAGTTGGTTAAGGGTAAAATTAAAAAATAGTTGACATTGGATATTTTTGTCATTGATGTGGTTAGGAACAAAACAGGTCCCTGGCATTGGCTTACCATTAGGGGTTAAATTGTTCACAAACGGTTTAATCCCAAAGTCTCTGTTCAAGCTCTTCCCACTCCAACATCCGCTGGCTGAAAAGCTTGAAAATTGAAGCCTAGCAGTAAGCGGACGCTCTCAGCCAATCAGTGGCAGCCATTCATAAAAACGGCTTTGGAAAAAGATGTGCATTTCTCAAACCGTTTTGTGAACGGGGAGCCATTGATTGACTTAGAGCGTCAGGTAGAGTAGATTTGTTTTGTTTTATCAGAGGTTGTAGTTGTTACAGTATTACCATTGACCACAACTGAGGATGTGATTTATTGTTTAAGGTTAGTGGTAACTCCGTAGGAGCCGCTTCTGTAGGATAGTTTCACTTATTACCCTATTATAATACTAATTAAAGGGAAAAAAAACACAGTGAAGAGGAGCGTCTTTTGGAAACAGATTTTCAAATTTGTGAATGTGGTTTCTTATCACAAATCTCCTTAGAACTAAGCTGTAGGATTTTCTAAGAGGCTTTGAGTATAGGTCTTCGTAGTCTTTTATGTCAAGGAGGCTCAGACTACAATAATACGAAGGACTAGTCTTGACTAAGCTTTGCATAGGATATACTGTCTGGCAGAACCTATCCCAACATGAAATTACTAAGAAAAGAAAAAAAGCTTGCTGTCCCATCTACCATCAAAATTTCAGTAGTTTTAAATGTAAGGAAGGTGACTGTGATCAGAAAATTAATCCTTGTCTTTTTTATACACCATGCTTTGATTTACTCTAGCCTAAATGGATTAAATGGCTGAAATATTTAATTATTAAAAACCTGGAACGTCGAAGAATATATACAAAGATTTGAATTTAGTTTTTGGGGGTGGGGACGACCCCTCTCTAAACTTAAAAAAAAACGAGAAAAAAAGTCAACCTCGTCCATGATGTTCTATCTTACCCTACCTACCCTGCTGAAGATTTATTAGGATGAGGTATGCAGTGCAGGTAAGTTTGACACACACTTACCTCTTGTGCACCTCTATATAATCAGTGACACAGAAACGCACATATTTAATATAATAACATAATACCGCACTCCAAGAAAAGGTTTTTTTTTTTTCATCTATAAATAGAATCCGCATTTTCTCAGCTAAGGTTCTATTTCCTGAAAGCAAAACATAATAAAACGTTTAATTAAAGGCTGACAATGCCAGGAAGGACTGCTTTGTGGAGAGTGAGGTAGGGAAAACTTGGGAGGCAGAGCTGGGAGCTCTCCTTGTTTAGGAAGAGGGAGTGACAAATATGCCTTAGAAGAGAGCAGGGGAAAATTATAGAGAGCAAACGGGAGATTTGTTGCAGAAGACAAGTCCCAGGAGGGTTACTCTGGTCATAACAGAGGGATAAGATACGGAAAGGACACAATGTCACTTCACCAGGACAGATGGAAATGGATAGAAGGACTTCTGAATCTTTAGGTGAGGTTGGCGACTCTTAAACATAATCTAATTAACTCTGATACCTTGTCAGTTGTGAAGGACAGCCCAGTGTAATCAGTAGAAAATACAACAGTAACAGCCCATCTGTATATTGCCAATAGTACGGTTTAATGTTTACATTGTCATATGAAGCCCAGTAATATAAATAACTTCTCATTGGAGTGGTTACGTTATAGACCGGCAGAAAATTCACATACAGCAGTAGATTATTTCAATGGCAATGTTAGAAGTTAGAAATAAATTGGCAAAAATCTCTATTTTATGTTTTATTTTTACTTTTAAGGGCACAGTAGCCCAGTAATAGTCATTGCTCATATTATAACATTGTCCAGACATAATAGAATTTCCTTAAAGGACCATTAAAGTTAAGATGCACCGGTCCTGTCATTTTAACCCTGCAATCTAAACCATTGCTGGTTTGTAGAAAGTGTTAAATATGCCTCTTAGCGTCTGTCTATCTGGCAGCCACTAGGGGCTCTTCCTATTCCAGAATAGAGTCAAAATTGGTCCTGCTTGCAAATGCTGCTGATGGCATTATCTCACACAGCATCAAAGAATTCTAGGCCTATCAGAAGAAGCAGCTATAGTGAGGGCCGGTGCAAGGATTTTTGCCGCCCTTGGCAAACAAAAAATTGCCGCCCCCATATGCTCTGCCCACCATGTGACATCACAATGCCCCACCCATATGATCTGCCATATGAGCCAATGCAGTGCTGCACACAGTGTGTTTACATTAAAAGGCCTGCAGGGAAGGCTATAGACACCAGAACCACTTCATTAAGCTGCAGTGGTTCTGGTTACTATAGTGTCCCTTTAATGTGAGGTAAATTAGAGATTAGTGCCACTAATAATATACTGGATTGCCCACCTACCACCAGATGAGGACAAGAGGCTGATAATGGGCTCAGGCTGCAGTCTGGCTCCACTGGTCTGCTGTTAAAACAGGCTCTCTGGAGAAGTGTTCACAAATATCAATGAGCAGAAAGCAGCTCCAGTTTTTGGGGCCCCTTACACAGATCACGGTCTGGGTCTATGCCTACAAGGTCCGCCCATAAGCCTTATGTCTTCAAGGCCCACCATGAGTTCGCTCACAGGGAGTGGAGTGTATGTAGGGGATGTGTTATGTGTTATTGTAGAGGATGTAATTTGTGTGTGTTCTTATGTAATGTAGTGTATAGGGATACCAGTTTGTGTAAGGGATGTAGTGTGTGTGTGTTAGGGATGCATTGTATGTTTCTGTGCATGTGTAAGGATGCATTGTGTATGTGTGTAGTGTGAAAGAGAGGGTTTGGGAGGTAGGATAGGGGCTGAGAGGGGAGCAGCTCTTTATTTTAATTTTGTTAATATAATTGTTTTGTATATTTTTTAAGTTTTGTGTCTTACACCCCCCTTTAGTGTATTTCTTACAAGCCCCTTGTGTGTCTCTTATCCCCCCCCCCCCACTCTTTGTATGTCTCCTACATCCTCCAAACCCATTTGCATATCTTACCCCCAAGCCCCTTTGTGTCTTACTCTTCCCAGCTCCTTGGTGTGTCTTGTTCCCCCCCCAGGCCCCTCTGTGTGTCTCCTTCACAAGCAACTCTGTGTGTCTCTCCTGAGCCTCTCTGTGTGTCTTACACTCACTACCACTCCCCCCCATCCCTCAGTGGCCTCCTCTCCACTTCTCCTCCTCTCCACTTCTCCCCCTGTCCCTTAGTGTTCTCCTCTCAACTCCTGTCCCTTAGTGTTGTTCCCTTCCCTCCTGTCCCTTAGTGCTCTCTATTTCTGCCCTTTAGTGCTCTCCCATCCCCTCCTGTCCCTTAGTGCTTTCCTATCTCTTAGTGCTATCCCATCTCTTAGTGATCTTCCTTGCCCCTTAGTGATCTCACCTGCCCTCCTGTCCCTTAGTGTTCTCCACTGCCCTCCTGTCCCTTAATGATCTCCTTTCCCCTCCTGCCCCTTATTGCTCTTCTCTGCCCCCCTATCCCTTAATGCTCCCCCTGACACTTAGTGCTCTCCACTACACCCCCCCCATCCATACCTATAGTGCTCTCCCTCCCCCTGTCACTTAGTCTCCCCTCCTCTCTTTCCATTGGTCTCCCCATCTTTTCCTTAGTGGTCCCTCCTCCGTCCATCTTTTCCTTAGTGGGCTCCCCACCATCTTTCCCTTAGTGATCTCTCCTCATTCTCCCCCTCCCAACCCCCCGTAACCTTAGTGCTGGAAGCTCCACGCTACTCTGTTAATTGAACTTTAATCACACACACATACCTCCCAACTGCCCCACTTTTGGGGTTCTGTCCCGTCTTCCTTATTTTGTTTCCTGATTTCCCGCATTTGGGGACACCAGGGAACTGTCTCCAGGGAGCACAGCGTGAGTGCGCCATTAGATGTATTTAATGGACATTACAGGACAGTAGGACCATGCAAAGCGTATTTTCTGCATGCTCCTCTATGCACGGAGATGGCCAGGAGGCTGTCTGTAAACCAGATATGCTTTATATAACGTAGACCTGTCTACTTTCCAGGTGGGCTTACACAGTAAGGGACGTCACCAATGATACTAGCCCCAGCTGACAGAGGGGATCTTTATATATCCAATGATATGTGTGACTTTCAGGTACCAGCAGGATCTAACCGTGCTGGTGCTTTTACTGCATGACGGTCCATGCAGTTAACAGGCATTTCAGCTCTGCACTGCATGATGGCATAGACCATCATGTGGCCCTTAAACTATTTAATGAGGATTCATGCATTCAGATTTTACATTTAAAGTACACCCTGGCTGTTGTTGTTACCTTACAGAATGGGACTCATTTTGTTGACCTGTGGAAGATAAAGCCTAGTAGATACTGCTGCGGATGGGATATGTGGCTTGTAGTACAGCTTCAGCACTAACCTATCTCAAAATCAAAAATCAACTTATTTCTAATGACGATAAGCAAACATTTTTATTTAACCATTCCTATATTTTCACAAAGAAAGTCAGCATTAACCCCTTAAGGGCCAAACTTCTGGAATAAAAAGGAATCATGACATGTCATGTGTCCTTAAGGGGTTAAAATCACTAGTTTCCAAGTTATTCAGAGCCATGCCAAACTTTGTACTCGTTAAATTTAATTGGAGACTGAGTTTGGAGCTGAACTCAGTTACACAATGTCCAACCTGCTGGGTAATCCTGTGGATTTCACTTGTGAGTCCAAGCGAAATCCACAGGATTCTCCAGCAGGTTCAACATTTATCAAAATCTAGGGTTCTCTAAATGTATCTGGAAAATGTTTCTCAAATCAGAGAAGGATTTACCATAAGGCGACCTTAGGCAGTCACATAGGAACCCAGGGGTTAGACAGGGGCCTGGGATCTATGAATTTGATTGGGCTCCATTAACCATCCCTGCGTGAAGAATGAATGGGGAACCCCAAACTCGTACCCTATCTAGGACTCTGTGGGATCTCAGTCCTTCTCTAGGCCAAAGTGATTTGCAATGCATTATATAGAATATGCATTCAAAAATATGAAAAGATAAAAAATAATAATTTGGTTTTAAGAAAGAATAAGTACAAATGTATAACGTACATCAAGCAAGAGAGTAAAGCACAGTTTGAAATTATAACATTCTTCCAATAACATTCAAGATATGATCGAAGGCAGTATCCAACCATATAAATTTTTTTTCATTGGCCAAGGCTCCCTTACAGTGTGCTATAGAGAGAATTTCGTTGTTGAGCTAGAAGGAGGTTTATTTGAAAAGAACATGAGAGCCTATTTCTCCTCTAAAGAAAAATGTAAACGCAAGTTTGCATGGAGGTGGACAAATGAGCCTTCTTAAAAACTATTCTACTATTGGAAGGTATAGTAATTTTGGTTAGAAGTTATGTGGTCACAATTTGGTCCCATAAAGTTGGTGATGCACTAGTCTAAAAAGTTGATTTAGTGTACTTGATTATTAAGTGAGAGAAGAAAGAGAAGGGGACGTGTGTAAGGAAAAATGAATAGAGGGGGGAAGTAAGTGTATGGATATAGGAGTAGAATTGGAGATGGTTAGACATGAGTGAATGTGGAGGATAAATGCCTTTTAAAGTTCCGGTTGCTTTTGCTAAAACACAAAAGACAGAAGAAACAAGTATGGTCCCCCCATACCATGAAAAATAATTACCAATTAAAAGCATCTCATCCTGTCTGTGGCAGGTTTCCTTATCCCAGAAACCACTGTCTAACATAATTAATTGGATATTTAGTCTGTATCCTCTTGTTCACATGACTATTTACAATTTTGGGGATGTCGTTGCTTGCAGAAATCTTGAGAGCCACTGATATTGTGAGTTTATATCTGCATCTGGATAAGAACCTATATTCCTAATGCTAAGTGAAGTGGTCTGGGTGGCTATGGATTCCCTTTAATTTTCTAATATGACTATTTTGACCTAAATTTTGAAATTCACTTTGAATTTTGTTCACTTTTTTATTTAATTTCTCTTTACTGAACTAACGCATTTATTTGTATCCTGATTTCACATAGATATATTCCCTATTTATCTCTCCTTGACGTTCCCCCTCCCCATCACTTGTTGGAACAAAAAATCTCACAACAAAAGCTTGATTGTCACCCTTAAACCCTGAATCGTTTATCAAGTTTCTATTTCCTGTTGTCCACAGTGTGGCAGGACCCACCCAGCTCAGCCCCTGCCAGGCGATTGTGTGACTATTCAGTTTGGAACAGCACAAGAATCCCATTGTTATATCCTGACAGCGGATATGTAAAGGGCAGAGTGTAAAGAGCTGGTAGGGAACTGGTGCGGAAATAGAACGTGTGACTTCTCATGGCTATCATATCCAGTGGTTATCATGAGATCAAAACATTATTATTTATTTTGCCAATTTGTTAAGTATGTACATGAAATAATCTTTTTTTTTTAAATTTTTTTTTTACATATTAATGTTCTAAAAATTGAACACTGCATGCAGCCAATGTGTGTCAAACGAACTAGTCCAGTACATCTATGCAATGTCCTGCCTTGTGTATTTAGTAATCAGTCTTCTTTTTTTTGAGACATCCATGCCTCAACCTGTTCTACGCAATCTGGGACATCCAGGACTGTTTAGCTACAACATCTGTGTTCCTCTAAAATCTAGACCAGTGATTGCTGATCATGGCACTTAAGATATTCAGCGATTATCTAGTGGTGAAGTCTATTTATTTTTGGTACTGGAGTATTTTGGTGATGGTGGATTTTTGTTCCTTTTTTTTTTTTTAAGGTTCTATTGGAAGCATTGCCACCTTAGTAGGGTAATTTGCATATTACATGTTATAGTTTTTTTGAATAACAATTAAAGGTTATGTTTTGTACATATTCCTGACACTGTTTTCCTTTTTCTTCTCTCTTAGTTATTTTTAGGGTGTAGGGTTTACTCCCAAATTTGGTGCTTGGGTACCTTTATATTACAACCTCATTTTTGAACAATATTTTGTTTTTCAGAATTTCTGCTGTACAAATATAGACAGCTGGTACTTTGTGTTGTAGAAGGTAGCCTATCTATGAAATAGTGAAAAGTGACTTTACAAAACAATACTTTATATACTACAATTAGTATGTATGTAATGTGAAATCACGTTGTCTGATCCTACCGCAACTCACACTTTATTTTCTGTCTCACAGGTGGCAGCCTATTCCTGGAACCAAGGCGGCAATGCTCGTGAAGGTTAACAGCTTGAGACAGGTCCCTTCACCCACATCCTGTGGTCCTCTTCAAAACAGCATTCCCAAAAACTCTTCAGCCAAGTCATTGGTATATGCACAACCTCAGCCTTTCACTGAAAAGTCTGGTGGGGATCCCCAGCAATCCATGCAGATCAAAAAAACTGACAATGGTGGGTTCTGCCTTATTCTAACCAATGGGGCTAATGGTCAGACCCCACAGAGGACTCCCACAGGGACACTTCAACCCTCATCTCCCAGATATGGATCACCACCTCCTATATATGATGAGCCATCCATGGAATCCCCCATTTATGATGAACCGCCTGTAGAGATGGACGTAGAAAGCATGAGTGCACGTTCACTTTCTCCACCTTTGTCCCCAACTAGTAGCATGCACAACCACCCTCAGGCTCCAAAGCTACTTCCTTACCCCAGTGCTCACCATAAGCATAAGAGGAATCCTTCTGCTACGGAGTACAGCCCAGCAGGAAGGGAGTACATTAAACACATGGTAAACGTTGACCAATCCTCTAAACAGACTACATCTCCTACTGGGTCCCTTGATACCCCACCTAAACATCAGCCCGGTCAGCTGGCCCTTAAGGATAGTTTCAAGCACTCTTGGAGGGTCTTGGAGGCTAATGTTCTTAAGAATATAGAGGCTCATCATAATCGCCAGAATAGTCTTCCTCAAGACTACCCTACAGTGGTAAGTCAACAGGATTCTGGCTATTCAACAGGACCTTCTCCCAGTTTGAGGAAAAGGAAGGGTAGGCGACAAGGTGTTGGACAAATAAGACCTGGGTCAGTGGGCAGCAGCAGTGAACTTAACGCTTTGAATGAGAAACTGATTGCAGAGATGAGGTCAGTAGTGACAAAGACCCCTGTGCGCCAAGGAAGCAAGACCAGCCTGGATACAGAGATGTTGGAAAGCCCTAATGCTACTGACAACAGTAAAGTGAGGTTTCAGATGGACTCTTTAAAACAAACTGGAGGTAGGGGGTCAAGGGATGATGTCACAGCCAGCAGTAGGTCATTGTACAAGCCTGGAGCAGAGTGCCGGGAGAATGTAAGTGGGGAAGTAACAGGGCAACAAGAAGTGGTACGGCAGAAACGCACCTACGAGAAGATAGATTTCTTGGAGAAGAAGATCACAAGCCAGATCAGTTTACTCTCATCAGAGTCCGCAAGAACAGCATCAGAGGTAAACAAAAAAACACCTTTTCTATTAATTGGTTTATTGTGATATTTGGATTTTAGATTTACTATGGCTGTGGAACCTTAGGTTTTAAAATAAGACACTTGGGCATCAATAAACTTGGGTAAACTTTTAAAATTTCTAAAAAAATTTTACATATATCAATATACGCAAACATGTTTTTCAAAATATTACATAATTTTAAAAGTTCATCCAATATTATCATTTTAATACCATGGTTGTAAAAATATCTCCTCTACCAGACTTCCGGTCATATGAAAGTTATGGCTGGTTTAAGTTGAATATGTGTGAATTTATGAATTCTATCTACATTGGTGTTATTAGTTCCAACACCACATCTATCCTTGCAGCACTTTGCATCCTTTCTTAAAGGACACTATGGGCACCCAGTCCACATCATCTCAATGATGTGGTCGTGGTGCAGTGTCCTTATTGTCCTTAGTCCTGCTATGTAAAACATTGCATTTTAGAGAAACTGCAGTGTTTACATTGCAGGGTTAAGAGTGGCTGTAGTGGCTGTCTACCACATAGCCACTAGAGGTGCTTCCTGCTATTTCTCTTCCAGCATTGAATCAATGCTTTACTATGGGGAACCCCCAACGTGCACTCAGTGCTTGCCGCTCATGTGCATAAGGTCCCCCTTCAGCACTCACGTCAGAGGAGGTGGAGCCGACACCGATGTCCATCGGCACTGGAATCAGGTGACTGAAAGAAAGTGATAGGTTCCCTGGAGGGAAAGGGGGGGAGCAACTCTGTATTCATAACACTATAGTGTTCCTTTAAGGAATTAAACACATTTTTATAGACTGCTTTGGGATTGCTTATTTAATATTTGAAATTACACAGTACTGTTAACACCAAAATTAAAGATAAAAAGCTCTCACAGACACTTTGCCCCTAGTAGCCATGTGCCAGCATTAGGGATGAAAAATGTGTTTAACAGGAAATTTTGCCAAACTCTGCTGCAGTATGTGTTGGTGAGCTTCTTGTTGTACGTATCTAAAAAGTACTACTTAAAATAATCTGTAAGAACAAGAATATTAAACTACACAAGTATTAAATTAACTTCCTTGATACCTAAACACAATGCCAGAGCATCAAGTGTCTCGGATATGGAACCAAAACCAAACGCTGATTATCACATTGATCTTGGCCAGGACATCCTCTTTCTGTGTCACGTTCTCACAGAACACGCAGGGATAGTTCACAGTCCATCCATATATGCAGAAAAATCATGACACCCCTAAGAAGCAAAGAGAAACATAGATCTCAGTTATTAACCCATTTTCGGGCCGGAAAATAAATTTTTAAATATATGAGTGGAAAAATGTTGTTGAAACTCTCCAGAGTATCCACCAGACTAATATAGATTGTTGTATACATTAAAACGGCTAGTGTTCTACTTATAGAACTTAATGTGTTTACCTGTCAGAGACCGGTAGACACTGGATTTCTCCACTATGTGTGAGGCACGGTGGTAACGATGGTGTATTATTATATGTGGGATCGTTGTGTTTATATTTTATATTTTTACGTTTACCTAAATATGGAATCCTAATTGGTAGGCTTAATTTTAGGCTATCCAAATAGCTTTTGTTTTGTATACAGGAGATACCAGCTTCAACCACAGCCCTGCACCTCTGCCAACATGCAGACTCTTTTTAGGTTCGGTAAAGAAAAAAATTAAAAATACTGACCACAAATCCTTTACATGCCAGGTATTTTTAACCCTTGGAATGTCACTGGTTTGTAGTTTTGCTTTGCGGGCGGAAACCAGCGAAATTTGTTTTTAGGATGATAGTGCTATTCTCAGCCAGTACTTGATGGCCTCTAGCTGCCGAGTCGTTCTTTGGTAACGACTCCCATCAGTCGAGGAATGATGGTAGATGAGGTCTACCAAGAGCTGTATAATCTGTTTATTCTCGGCTGTAAAGCACACTGTATTTAATAGTTTCTTTACACAAACTTGTTTTTGCTAATATGCTGGAATTAGATTTTATTTCTTTATTTTCATTTTAGCAAGTTGTGGCATGTTTAGTGGTAATAACAACTTGAATACTTGATTGTTTTATTGTGGAGATGGTCACATAGGAATTGGATCATTGATTTCACCCTCACTGACCGTTTATTTTATAGGAAAAAAAATGCTACAGAGAGCATGGGATGTTGGCAGCCAATTGTAATTGTCGCTCACGGACCATCTCATGGCATTTCAATTAATAAAATACTTTTAGGTCTTTTGTTTAATATAATGCGATGCCCAGGAGGAAGCTCAGGTTAACCTGGAAGTCCTTAATTTGTTTAAAAAAAATAAAATTAAAAAGAAAGATAAGCAGTCACGGAAGTGATATATTTTGTGTAGAAAATCCCTAGAGACAGGACAAATTTAAAATTTTTGCTACTTCTTTCTTACTGAGTAGTGGGGACAAGCCAGTCATCTCTAATAGCATCCAAACTGGATATGTTTTAATGGGATACAGTAACAGGACTATTTACTAAAGTGAGAATTTAAAGGGAATTTCAAATTTAAGGTGAAAATAGCTGAACTGGAAAAATTCAGGAATGCTATCATTTTGGCTACTCTGCCCTAAATTTAAAATTCACTTTGAACTCTCATTATAGGAAATATCCCTGTTAGTACGATAACTATTACAGCACATTGTAGTGATTATGGTACCGGATGCCCCATTGTAACCTGTGAAACTGTTTCTGAAAGGATTGACACTAACCTGGCTCTGTTGAACACCCACAATCCTGATTGTCTGAACTGCTATGCTTTACACTTTGACATTAACAATTCCAATTTTACACAACTAACTAGTGACACGCTCAGACAACGAATAATGTCCAAAGGTGATATGCTAATGCAGAAGTACAACTTTATCGTAGCAGTGCAGATCAGAAAGACCCTGACAGAGCCAGGCAGGACTTCCGACTGTCCTAATTTTGTTGGGATAGTCACAATTTTAGGGTCTTGTCTCACCATCCTGATATTGCTCCATGGTCTCCCGCATCCAGGAGCACAAAGGAAATGTCCCCAGCCAGCATATCGCAAGTCCATCTTTAGCACTCTATGCATGGTCTTGTGTGTGGCAGGCCTTGGTGCTGGACTTGTCTTAATGCCAGTCTGACCGGTCTGCCCATTACAAGCATTGCCATTGATGCAAATTAACTAACAATACATATATTTGCATTTCACTTGCAATGTAGAAAACCAAACTACATTTTTAAGAGATAAACTTAAAGGTTAACAGCTGGTATCAAACCTCCATGGTGTCAGCGGGCTATATATAGGCTGTAAGTGGAGTGGGCACCTAAAATGTTTGATTCATTTTGTATAGAAGTCTAGAAAGTGCTCATTTTCATTATTTTATTTATTTTTCCACTGTGGTTACTTTTGGTCTAACATTTTGTGGTTGCATGATCATTTCTTCACAATTCCTGGCTCGCCGAATAACCTTGAATGAATTGTGTACTACCTGAAATTGTGGTGAACTGAAAACAGAATTTGCAACCTTTAGGCCAAAATAACTCGATTAGAAAAATCTCCCAATAAATATATTTTCTTTGGTGGTTTTGGCATATATACAGCACATCTGGTTATCAGCTCATAATTTAGCAAGTAAATCTATTGTGTGTACTTTATTGGTATTTGTTTTGATGCCATTTTGACAATTGATGCACTGCAAATGAGTTGGGTTTTTTTTTTGTCATGACGTGCAAAATATAGGTGTACAGTGCTAAATAATTATAGACAATCTGTTCCCCCACTTTTGTCAGAGCATCTTGTAGCAGACTCAGCCTCTAGTTGTAGATTTGTGTAACAAGCACCTCCGCTTGTTTGTTTCATTCTTCCCCTGCTCAGCTGTTCTGTGTTGTTGTTCTCTGATCTTAAGGTAATTAAGGATTATCTTGCATATATGAGACTGATCCTGCTATTAAGAAAGCTTAGCACTGGTATTATTTTATGTTTATAAAAGGCTGATGTTGCGGAGTACGAGATATTTGGAAATTTGGGTGTCATTTTATAAGGGGACAAACCAGGTATGATGTTTCAAATGATGCAGGTGATATTTCTTACTTCTATAGCTTGCATACTGTTTGATACTGTAACTTAATGCTCTCTACTTGCAGAATGGAACTCTGGAGACCAACCCGAAAAGTGACAATCGTGGACCATCTCCGTTTGGACCTGGATACCAGTTTCCTTATACTACCTTAAGGAAACCCCTGTCTCAAACCAGCATGGTGGATTGGGCTTCAAAAAACCTCAATATGCACACACAAGGCATCTTCCGTAGGAGACTTTCCATCTCCAACATGCTATCGTGGAATGGTGGGTCCATCAAGAAGCCCATGCTAATCACAAGCAATCGAGTGATAAAAAAGGAAGCATGTGAAATGTTCAAGATGGTTCAGATATACATGGGTGACCGGCAGGCCCGGACTGACAGAAACCAAGTGGCATTAATACTGGTGACAAAATGTTGGAGCTTACAAGGGTTAAGGGATGAGCTGTATATGCAGCTAGTAAGACAGACTACTAATAATATGACCTACAGGAGCTTATCCTTGGGATGGGAACTCATAGCAATAAGCTTGGGATTTTTCTCGCCGTCCCCAAAATTTCAGTCCTATTTGGAAGGATATATCTACAGACATCTGGATGAAGTCAGCGACATTAACAGTAAGTGTTTCAAGTGCTCTAATAGGATTATATGTATTACATCTTGGCGTTAACAGTTTGGCCTTCCAGGGCTAGTTTCAGACAGCCTGTGGAGCTGGAGATTTAACCCCTTAAGGACACATGACATGTGTGACATGTCATGATTCCCTTTTATTCCAGAAGTTTGGTCCTTAAGGGGTTAAATGATTAAAGAGATGTAATTCTAACATTATGTTTAATAGTCTGGGCATCCAGTCATAGTGCTGGCTGTGTGTGAGTCTCTATATGTCCAATTATTTCCCCTTGACCTTGTTTACCATCGTGTGCAGTGAATTAACTTTTTTGGATGTGTTCTGCTAAGTGGTGTGAATTGCTTCTGGCATCTCTCTGTTTTGTTACTGCTTGTTGCACCTGGACTTGCACTATATTAAAGAGCAATGTATTTGTATGTATTTACCGGTGTGTAATGTTGGGTACAGTGAAGGTGTCTAATGAGTGCTGTGTGGTGTATTGGTGCCAAGAGAGTGACTGCTGGGAGTTTTTGAAGTGATTGATAGAGGTACATGAAAGTGACACTATAGGCACCCAGACCACTTCAGCTCATTGGAGTGGTCTGGGTGTAGTGTCCCAGGCCCCTTAACCCTGCAATTATAATTATTGCATTCACACAAAACCCCATACAAAAGCATTATACAATGCTTTCCTATGGGGGAAGTCCTAATGCGATCGCGGCGATCGCCACACATGCGCAATAGTTCTCCCCCCCCCTCCCCCCCCACTGGCTGACATCGGCAGAGGCGGAGCCTAAACCAGCACTAAGGCTATTAACCCCTTCTGCACCATGAGGGGGATGGGAGCAAGGGAGGGGGACACTATAGGGAGAAATGTTGTTTTCCTGGCACTATAGTTCCCCTTTAAGTGATTGATAGATGCGCTGTGTCACATATCAAGCAAACACGCCTTACATTTTTCGTTTGATAAAAAAAAATCATGTTTACATTTCTAGGCCATGCTGACATATACCACCCACATATTATATATGATATTCTGAAGATCTAAAGCACTGCAGATTTCACTGTCTACTCTTATAGAGGAATTGTAATTGCAAATGCTAAAGGGTGTGCCATTTGTACAAAACAGACTATAATAATCTGCTCAAGGTCTGTAATCAGGGGATAGTGTAGTCCTATTCTGATGTAGGAGCATACTGATGTGGGGTCAGCATAAACACGAAGTTGTCTCTTGCCTTTTGTGAACACTGTAATTATGTGACAGTCTGTGCATCTGAGCACTTTATAGCTCAGTCTTTGTTTTTCGTGGGTAAATTAAAAGGCGCTTTATCTAGATACTAAATTGTTTGTTAGAATTTTGATATGTAATCATTTTTGTAGGCAGTGTCATCTGTACAGAACAGACTACAGTACCTGATTCTTCTTGACTGCATCCAAATGCAAATCGGAGGCCAGTGGCCTATTGTAGCACACTTGCCTCTGGTATTATTTGGAGATGAATCATTTAGGTAGTTACTACTATGCATCAGGTTAGATTCTGGGAAAAGGCAGTATGAGCTGAATCCTATAAATATGTGGTTCTTGTTTCATAACAAAGATTACATAAATATGGTTACCATCCTGAAAAATGGTCTGAAATCCAACGTATTTCTTTAACTGATCAGTGATCTTAATAGTTAAGGGTCTATACTTGTGATATAAACCTTATATACTAAATTAAACAGCATAACGTTTTCTAAAATGTACTGCCGTATATTAAACAGTCTGACAGTATATGTTTTACTGTGTTTACAAGTGTTTTACAAGGAGTGTCATGGCAGTGACTGCTGGAGCAAATGTGGCTAAGAGGGGTGACTGATATGTGCTTATTTTTGTTTTTAATGTTTTAAAGATTATTCATAGTGTATCAGTCTGGATACTGCATTATTATTATTTAAAGGCGCCAGCAAATTCCGTAGCGCTGTACAAAAGGTGGACTAACAGACAAGTATCTGCATTGGAGAAAGCAGGAAAACTGGCTCAGCCCACACTCTTTTCTTAGAGCCAGGACCTATTACTCTGTTCCCATGCATTTTCAATCCCTAGGGCAAACCACTAGAGATGAACTGGACCATACCATTCTGGCAGTGTAGGAGGATATCAGACAGCCACATGTGTGCAGGGCCACTGATATTAATCACCAAAATTTTTAGCTTTTTCCTGTTTCCTTCTGCATTCTCATATCTTCTGTTTGTTTTTGCATTACTGCTTTTGCTCGGGGTCAAAGAGTAACCTAAACAATGTACAATGACCCCGTGCTCACTGTGCCTAGTGGGATATCAGATGCACTGAGGAGAATACCAAAGAAGGCCAAAACGATTGTCTGAGGTTATTGTATCTCTGGTGCAGAGAGAGCCAGTTGCATTTTCGATCGGGATCACCCTTGTGGGTGAGATAAGTCTAATATGTAACAGGCTAAGGTGTTTTCTGTAATGACACATGTAAACAAAAACTTGTCTGGACTTGAGCAGAAACTGAAGGTCAAGCTGAAAAGCATACAGAGCCACAGGGCAAATGATGAGATGCCAAGCATATCTAAATCTAACCAGAAATGTCTCCTAAAACAATGACTACTAACATTATAGTGCATTAAATGCAATCCAATCTCTGTAACCACTAACGATTTTATGCTAGGTGACTGCAGGTGCAGTACCCCTCATATTATGCTGTTTTCAGTTGGTTTTTACAGCAGCATCTAAAACTTTGTTGGTCAAGTCATTTATTCCACACAGCTTGTACAAGCTGCTAATTCATGCACCGGGAATACACCTAGAAACAACGTATGGGTGCACTGTGAATACGGCAAGTACAATGAGCTTGAACACAATTTAGTACCGTTTAAATTAATAGATGGTAATGTTCTATACACACTATATAAAATGATATATTTTATATATATATGTGTATATATGGTGTAAGCGTGAAGTTGTGGGAGGGGTTTCCGGCCTATTTAAACCAAGGTGACCCCCTCTTACCTGTTGTCGTTTTCGGATGTTCCCCTCCCACCTCACCATCTTCTTATTCACATTAATCTCAACAGGTGGGCCCTCTTTATTACAGGCCTAACCACTCGTCAGTTTCGGCACACCTCAAACGACTTATGTACTAATTGAATTCCATGTAATTAAGGGTTGTTCAGCTAATAATGTCCTGAAACAAATATATATATATATATATATATACACACGCAATCATGGAAAAAAGAAAGTTCACCCTTTTTGAAATCTATGGTTTTACATATCATGACACAATAACCATCATCTGCTCCTCAGCAAATCTTAAAATTAGGTAAATAAAACCTCAGATGAACAACAACACATGAAATATTACACCGCATCATGATTTATTTTAGAACAATAAAGCCAAAAATGAGAAGCTATGTGTGGAAAAACGAAGTACTTCTTATGATGCAACAGCTTGTAGAACCACCTTTAGCAGCAATAACTAATCATTTTCTGTATGACCTTATCAGTCTCTTACATTGTTGTGGAGGGATTTTGCTCCACTCTTTATAATGTTGTTTCAGTTCATTGAGGTTTGCTGGCATTTTTTATGCACAGATCTCTTAAGGTCCCTCCACAGCATTTTAATTGAGTTCAGGTCTGGACTCACCTGACTGATCCACCTTTATTCCTTTCTTTTTTAGCCACTCTGTTGTAGATCTGCTGGTGTGCTTGGGATCATTGTCCTGTTGCATAACCCAATTTTGGCTAAGCTTGAACTGTCGGAGAGATGGCCTCCATTAGACTCTAGAATACTTTGGTATAAAAAGGAGTTCATGGTCAGAGGAAGACCTGTGGCGGGAAAACAGTCCCAAATCCTTATCCCTTAACCACTGTGGTTGACAGATGTGTATGAGGTATTTGTGCTGGTATGCTGTGTTTGGTTGTCATCAAATGTGACGTTGTGCATTATGGCCAGACATCTCCACTTGGTCTCCTCTGTCCAAAGGACATTGTTCCAGAAGTCTTGTGGTTTGTTCAGATGCAACTTTGCAAACCTAAGCCGTGCTGCCATGTTGTTTTTAGAGAGAAGAGGCTTTCTCCTGTCAACCCTTCCACACAAACCACACTATTTATTTTTTTACATTATTTTTTTTCTAATTGTATTGTCATGAACTTTATCATTTAACATGCTAACTGAGGCCTGTAGAGTCTGAGATTTAACTTTTTTTTTTTTTTTAATTTCTTGGAGCACTGCATGGTCTAACCTTGGGGTGAATTTGCTGGGATGCCCACATCTGGGAAGGTTTGCAACTGCCTTAAATGTTTTCCACTTTTGACTATTTTTTCTCACTGTGGAATGATGGACTTTAAATTGTTTAAAAATTTACTTATACTCCTTCACAGTTTGGTGGGCAGCAACAATCGCTTCTCTAAGATCATTGCTGATGTCTGATGTCTTTCTTCCTTGGCATTTGATTAGCAGCACCCGTCTGCCACTTACCCTCTTAATTCCTATGAAAGCAGTAAGGGTTTACTTTCACACATGGCTTCTCCATTTTGGCTTTATTTTTGTTGAATAAATAATGACACGATGTAACATATCATGTGTTGTTCAACTGAGGTTGAATTTACCTAATTGTAAGACCTTTTAGGGAACAGATGATTATTATTATTATTATTATGTCCTGATATGTAAAACCCTAGAATTTAACCCCTTAAGGATCAAACTTCTGGAATAAAAGGGAATCATGACATGTCGCACATGTCATGGGTCCTTAAGGGGTTAAAGAAGGTGTACTTTCGTTTTCCCATGCCTGTATATGCTTATTTTGCTTGTGCTATATATACTGATAATTCGCAACTGAACACCAGCTACTTGTGTCGGTGCTCTTATTGCAAAAAAAACAGTTAAAGTACCAAAAAGGAGACTCCAGGGGTCTCAAGGGGCTTAACCCCAGGAATAGAGAAAATATATAAAGAAAATCACAATGCTTATCACAATCTCTAAGAAAATTGTAACTCGCTGTGTATCCTGGAGATGTACAGTAGTCTAAACGAAAATACTTAAATAATATTAGGATATCCCTAAAAGGTGAGGGTTATACAATAAAAATAAAAATAAAGTGCCTAAATGCTCCACAATATATGGAAAATATATAGATATTGGATTATATTAAGTATCCACTATGATGTTTATTATATCTGGCTCAGTGGATAACCGCAATGCTATCTATATAAAATATAATATATTAACCAAAAGACAAATAAAAACAGAATACTCTAAATTGCTACCACTAATTAGCACAAGCAACATTCCATATTAGCATACATATACAATGTTGCCAAAAAAGATCCTCTATAGTGAGGTCAAAATATTAAATTATCAATTAGTACTGGATTAGTAATGCTGGTAAGATTATAATCCAAAAAATACACATATCAGAGAATAAAATAAAAATAAAGAAAGTATATACAAGACTTCAAGAGATAAGAGTCTTGTCTCTCTATATATGTCTAATGGAAGTAAATGAAGGAGTATTAGGTATAGATGTCATGATGCTTAAAATGCTCAATGATACATCTATAGACAGATAAATAAAGAATAGAGTATATAGTTATAAGAAGGTAAAGGAATGTAGATGGTATAGTAATAGAGATATACTGCATATCAAATTTGCAGTGACAGATAGTAATAACCAATCTCTCCCTTCCCATATACACTTCTAAGCAAAAAGTGGAGCAGACTAGATTAAACAAAAATTAAACATAGAAAACCCCATAGGGCAAGCTAAGTATCATGCCGTGATATGTGTTAAGTGCCCATAAGTGAAAAAATAATAAAAATAAAACGCCTGACGCGCGTTTCGGTGCTGTGAAGCCAGCACCTTCGTCAGAGGCAAATTTTGCTTGTGTGCATAACATCTGGAATATTTTACATTTGTTTTAATTCGCATGCCAGTAAAATAAGTGTGCAGAGTCAACTGCCCATCTTCTTTCAAAATATATCTTTCTTTGGTTAATTGGTATTTGTTGTTATAAATGTAGCAGAATAGTCTGTACCGGGAAAAACTCAAAATTATTTTGAGATATTTCACATGAGGAAATAACCTTGAAATGTGTGCTACTTCGTGTCCTAATGCATTGTAGAGACTGGTTGGGTGGGATATAGTCAAATCAGAACATGATAACTCGTATTAGGGAAACAGAAGGGACAGATAAGAAACAAGAATGCTTTGGTATGAATTCCTTCACTATAATCCCACAAGTAAATTGCTGTTAGTTCAAGTCGGGAGTAGACTAGCATTTCTCTCTTATTATAGGCCAGACTTTATAAAGTTCTCTGTAAACAAGGATCTAAGTAACATATACAGGTTATCGCTTTTACATCCTTACATCCATTTACAACATAATGCATGGATCGTCTCTAGAGTTCAGGGGTGCCCGGGGGAACTACACCCCTGAGCAGAAGCTTCTGTAATTCCTAATATATGCCAGGCCTGCCCTTACAGTAAGCTTCTTCGCTTAACATTCTGCTTACCTCCTCAATTCTATAAACATGACTGCTCTACATACAGCATCCTTTTATTATAAGAGGAAAAATATGATGAGTTGTTTATTGTCTAGCCAACAATATATTCTTATTTTAGGTTTAAGTTGTTCAGTTCCCCATTAAGTTATTTGCATCCACACAAAATCCAGAATCGGCAATAAATGCTTGAAGAAAGCAGCTGTCTTGTTTTTTTGTTTTTTTTAACAGACTACGGATGATCCAGTCTTTATTTCTAGATAAAAATAAATCCTTTTATGAATGCGTTACTTGCAAACTGCTCCATAAACCACTTTAAGAGTGATATCAATGTGTTCTTTTTTTGATACTTAACTCAAAAGAATATTCCCACAAAGGTCCACTTTAACGAGCTAAGTTAAACGACTGTTTAGTTGCTGTGGATGTGTGAATGTGAGTAAATGGATTGTTCAATGTAACCTTTCTACTCACACAGGTACACTCTGGGAGGGAGGAAAGTGAGCTGATACTATATACATGAGGGTAAAGTGGTTTCTGCAATTCACAAGGAACATTCTGTCTTGATAGGTTTATATATTATAAGACATTGGAATGAACACGACTGTATCTCTTATTCATGGTGACATACTTTGGATTGTTATTATGTTATTATATTTGTTCACCAGCCCATGGCATGGCAAACGCTAGGACTGTACAACATATAAACCATTTTAAAAATGGAACACCGTTGCTCAGATATTTCTTCTTTTTTTTTTTTTTTTTAGTAACTCAACGCATACAGGAAGCTCAAGAACTAAAAACTAAGAAGAATTCAAAATCTCGCAAAAAGAGGAAGCAGAATGGGGATGAAGAAGAAGGTAAATATAACCGCAATTAGCATTTCCACTAATTTTGTTTTCCCAGCAAGATTGTGAAAGTGGCTATGCTTAACATTCTACAAAAATCCCCATTTGTTTTGGGTTATTTTCATAGAGGAACTGAAAGATTAATATTACATGGGCAACACAACAGGAGTAGACATTGGTCTGGTCAGAAGTTTGAGTTCCACAGTGCTGACCGTTGTTGACCTCTGCTAAGAGATGTTGACACCAATAGAGAGATGCATTGGTGGGCCAGATATCTTTAAATGGCAATCACTCTAACATCTGCAACACATTGTAATGGTTGTACAAAGATCCTTGAAGTCATCATTTCTATGGTTAGTGTCAAACCATTTTCGAGTGCTGTGATAAAAGCTGGGGATCTCTGCTACAGCTTTGTTAATATAAGAGGTCTACTAGCAAGTTAGCTATCCAGGTTTGGACGACAATCATAGTCTGGGAGTGCTTTACTAACGTTGCGCCTTCCTGTTATACATCCTTGCTCGATAATAGTAAGCCTAGTCGATTATATATTCTATTTTTACATAGACCTGTATCTACGCACGTATTGAATAACCAGGTATGCTGAAGTGGTAGGAACGATAAGTTGGGTTAATAAAGGTTAAAGGAAATTCAGTTTATCATTTTAAAAATTCAATTCAGCAAGAAGCTGTCATTCCCTTCTTTGCCCCATCCTACATTGCAACATTATTTAGCCATATTTAGAAAAGTGAGAGATTAGTACTGTGTTATGGCACTACTTTTGCCTTCACATATACGATGCTTTGTCAATTTTTTGTGTCTGCAGAGCAATCACATGTTGTATAACCATTTTAGGAAATAAAACGAAAATTCAATGTTTTTCCATTCTTTTGTTTCTTGCCATTGTTGTGACTAGTACTTTGTAGTGTGTTATTGTCGTGCAGCAGCACAAACAAAACAGGCAAATTGGCAGACTGCAGAAAATCAACTGCACACGCTACATATTTTGCAAATAATATTACATGAATTATATGGATGACAATGAAAAAAAAAAGAAAATAGTGTCTTAAGCAAATATCTGTCTGATGACACCAACAGAAACACTAACTACTGTTATAAATAGTATCTAAAAAGAGCGATGATCATCCAAAGAAAGTTTCTATAACAGATGTATGAGACACCATAGTGAAATGCACCATACTTATAACGCGTGTAGAGGGTAAGCATTTAGGGGCATTGCATGTTAGAGGACAAGAACAGGACAAATCGCACAAATAAGGAATAATATATGTAAAACCACTGAAAAAGAAGATGATGCAATGTTGTTTTTGCAAACTAGAGCCCCAGGCTAAAACACTGAAAAGTCTTATTTCACCCAATTCTTTGTCACAATGCACTCATTTGCCTACCATGCATGTCCACATGCTGACTTGACAAAGGCCTTACTTGGCCGAAATGTTGTCTTTTCTTATGCTGCAGCTGCTAATAAAGTAGCACAAGTATTTCTTATTTTATGCATGTCAATATAGGCAGTAAAACAAAGCTCCTTCAGGCTCAGTCTGGTAGGATGAGAAGGAACATTTAGTCCAAGCTGGCCACTCAAGATATGTTAATCCTGTGCCACAGTAAAGATAAAATGTCCTCTCCACCAGAGTCCATCAACCTAAGTGCTTGCCCTTATCAGAAGCTACATTCGAGGTACCATTTTTCAGGCAGGTTTCTCGGAGACAACTCTCCTAATCTTTGTGATTGTGACCCTTTAATTTAAGCACAACATAGTGTAAGACATCTGGTCAGGAATATTGCCTGTTGGAACTTAGGTGGAAATCCTTGATGTGTGCATTCTAGTGTGTCAGAAGCAGCTTGTGATTGCCAGTTTGGCTAGACTAGGCTAGGGTAATATCTCTGCTGAGAGGCCTTTTTATAACCTGATCGAGGCTTAGAAAGTGCTGTGTCTGACCAGTGCTCACATCTCAGTGCTGGTGCCTCTCTTGGACCAAGGTAGTATAATGACGTGTATTTAGTCTGGAGCCCGTTATTAAGGTCAGTTTCTTGTGGCATGGATAACCTCCACCAATCCTAGGGGAGGTAGTAGGGGGAGCTTGGGCACCTTTACAATTATATACCAAGTTACCAAAACAAGTGAGCAGCCATCTCCACTGTCCTGTACAGGTTTTGCCATAAGTTGCCTAGTGCTAATTCAGTGTGAGCGGACTCCAAACTCTTCTTGGGATATTCCTGAGAGGAATCAAGTGGAATGATAGAACATTCCAGCATTCGTTAGGGGGGCTGCAGTGCCTTGCGTCTTCTCACCATGGCAATCTGGAACCTCGCATTGATGTCCTTTTGAACTATTTTTTTATGTTAAATTCCCTTTGGGACACTTTTTTTTTTTTTTTGCTATAAAAAAATAGCAAATCTACTTAGTGAGAGAATGTGTCCTCATTCTTACTCCGTGGTCTGGAGATTTTTCAGCATTGTTATTTGGAGCAGATGGTTATTGGTGACTTGTTGTTAGCTGGATTTTGTTAGCTTTATTGTAGTTCTGGGGAAACTAAGTGGGAGATCCAAGCACACACTCGATTTTCTACAGAGATGCATTTTTCCGCCTGCAGAGCAGGGGCAGGAAAGCGTTTAATTGAAATTGATACTACACATTCATGTAAAAGCAATAGATTTATAGATGTCCCCAATGGATGTAAAAACAAGTCTGAACCTGTATTTAGAGAGAGAAAAAACAACATAAAACACTTAAACAATGGAACTCAAAGAGGGAAAACCCCTTGTCAGACTGCCAGTCAGATTTTTCATGTCCTGTTTAGAATTCCACCAGTACCGTATTTTATGGAATGTTACTGAAGATTTACTTTTCAGAGACATTGCAACAAAAAATAATCATACTAATTATATATATATATATATATATATATATATATATATATATATGTATAGTACATTAATATTTAAAAATATGTTTAGATATTTATTAAACCACAGCAACTGTTTTATTATAGAGAGTTGTTGGGTGGTGAAATAGTCAAATCAGAACACTATAACGCAAATAAAGGAAATAGAAGGGACAGATAAGAAAACCCCAGCAACTGTTTAATTGTACAGTTATCCACCGAAGATTGTTTTTGTTTTTTTTTACTTTTTTTTTGTTGTTGTTGCATTTTGTGCATTATTTGTTTGTTTGTTTTATCCTGTATTGTATCTGCTAGTACAGTGAGTAGGTTTCTGAGTAAGTTTCTCTTCTATGCTTCTATGGGTGATTATTTCTGATGACTTAAAGGTAGGCAGACAATGTAATAGAGCAGCAGGAAATGCTAGCAGAATGCTTGGTTGTATAGGGAGAGGTATTAGCAGTAGAGATGTCGCGAACCGTCCGCGAACTTCTCGCGAACGGTTCGCCGCGGTTGAAACATGAATGCTGTCCAGGAAGTAGGAGAGTCTGGGAGGGAGGGTCTGCTGGAGATTGGCCGGGACGTGTCAGCTGACCGGAGTTCGCCGCGAATAGCTCGTGGCGAACCGTTCGCGAGAAGTTCGCGGACAGTTTGCGACATCTCTAATTAGTAGTAGAAAGAGGGAAGTGCTCATGCCATTGTACGGAACACTGGTGAGACCTCACTTGGAGTATTGTACGCAGTACTGGAGACCGTATCTTCAGAAGGATATTGTTACCTTAGAGAGGGTTCAGAGAAGGGCTACTAAATGGTTCATGGATTGCGGGATAAAACATACCAGGAAAGGTTAAAGGATCTTAACATGTATAGCTTGGAGGAAAGACGAGACAGGGGGGATATGATAGAAGGGAATCAACACAGTAAAGGAGGAGACTATATTTAAAAGAAGAAAAACTACCACAACAAGAGGACATAGTCTTAAATTAGAGTGTCAAAGGTTTAAAAATAATATCATTTGATTGACTTTTTAAATGCATTTATACATCTCATGTACTAAGAAAATACAATTTTACTGAAACAGCTGTAGATGCAATCCATAGAATTTCATCAGAAATGGTGAGGGATAAAACACACTGGCAATTATAAGCCATTAATAAAAGATCAAAGCTGTGTTTGGATGATACAATTCAATGTACCCTATATGTTGTCAAACTACATTTATGTATCTCTGTTTCTATTTTCTATGAGATTCTTTTTTGGTTGAGACATATAGTGGGTTATGTATACAAAACAATCCTTGTGTAAACGTCTGTGAGTGGAAAAAAACATGGAGACCAATGGCGTTAGCTGAAAATGACTTTTCATTTACACTTTGCTACATTATTGCTCTGTATATCTTACTGCCTTAATGTACTTGTTGATGGCTGTTTTCAGACTTATTTCCATAAAGATCTTACACTGTTATTTATTTATTTTATGTCTTCTAGGTTTACCCATCAGCACCTATGCTAAGTACTGTTACCGCAAACTACAGAAAGTCGCAATTACTGGGGGAAAGAAGGTAAATTAGAAACCAAATAAAAATATGTGTCTGTGTATTTTATTGATATAACCCTCCATTGATTATATGACTTTTTGATTGCCCTTCATGTTTATAATCGCAAAAATAACTGTAGTACACTTAAAACTATATATTAAGTCTGTTTACAATAGAATTATGTTTACATTTCTACACAAAGTTGTATGTGCATCTGTCTCCAGCTAGGCCCTGGTTAATTTGGGTGTAGTTTGTCTTTAAAAAAACTAAATATGTTACTTTTTTGGGAGCTGTAACGGATCACCTGGCACCCCGACTGGGTACCTCCGTTGAAGGATGCTCCTAGCGCTTCCTGAGGGCTCCAAGCACTCCAGCAGAGTGTGCAGAGCATAGCAATCCCTTGTAGCAGATTCCCCCAATAAGAGACGGCACTCCAAATTGAGGGTGAAGTAGAACTGACTGTACTGGCATATACAGCCTCTTTTATTCACATTCTACAAACATAGTACTGCCCACAAGGTTTTGAAGAACAACCAATCAACACATTACAACACAGCTAACACTCCCATTCGTTACATCAGAAATCCTCCCCTCTGCCTGTGATACAATTATCTCAACACAATAGACTAACTTAATTATCACAGGCAAGAAAATACAGTATTATAAAACATATCACAGGGACCCCAAAACATGCAATAACCCCATAAAAAATATATTCTCGGAACTGGGGGATCTGGGTGAACCACATATTCAAAATTCACCCAGATCCTTTCAGTAGTTTGGAAGATACGGTTTAATGCAGATTCCGCAGAACATATACAGGCTATATGAAAAATAATTACTGTTAAATGTGTCCCCTGTTCTGTAGTTTAAAACTACTGCACGATGTCTTTGTGCACCAAATACCGGCGAGATGGCACCGTGTAGAAAAGTCAAAACAGTGTCTGTGAGTTAAAATGGCCGCCATCCATTGTTGTCACCATGTGCTTCATCCATTGTTCTCACCATGTGCCTCTGATACATGAAATGGTGGCCACCCAGTAACTCCACAGTTTGTCTGGTAGTCTATCCAGCCGAACCAACAGATGAAACACATGGGGAACAGTGCAACAAACGAAGGGAATCAAAAATATGGACAATAGTCATATTTGTGCACAATCTCCAGTTTTGTCACAGGGCACAAATAGTGTTTTCAAATGCCATATATCCCAGGGCCATAGTCAGAAGGTAGGAGGCAGGCAAGCAGCCCCCTCCGAGAACACATGACGAGGTTTGTTCCGCCACAGGAGCTATCATTTTAAGATCATCTCTGTCATTCCCCTAAATATATCCAAAATTAAAAACTAGAACGACACTCTCCAAACAAAAAGGATCAACACTATGGTGCCACACAAACTAAGGGGACTACAAATCCCTCACAACATAAATTGACTGTTCTACTCTACTAAAGTCTATGGTTTGGATAGCTCATGTGTGTGACAGGAGATCAATGTTTTATTCACCTAAATATAATCCTAGTTGTTGGCAGTCAGTAGAGTTAAAGGAACACTGTAGCATTAGGAACACTAACCTGTATTCCCCACTTCCACCCTAAAAAAAAGTTTTTTACTCACCTTTACTCGGTGCTGCCAGCAACTCTGCATCCTGCAATGTCAGCTGGCTCTCCCACTGGTGTCTAATCCAATACTACTCGTACTTCTCATAGAGGAGCATTGGAAACAAACATGCATACATTCCACGCACGCATCCAAATATCAAAATGCTTCACATGAGTTTTATAGAGGTGGGTTTAACCCTGAAATGTAAACATTTTGACATTGCATGGTTAAAACGAAAGGACTATTGCACTCAGACTACATCACTGAGATGAAGTCGTCTGGGTGACTGCAGTGGTCATTTAAATGGACACTCTAAGCACTTAAACAACTTTAGTTGAATAAATCTGTTCTGGTATATAGATTGCCTCTAGTCTTACTGCTCAGTTTTCTGTCATTTAGCAGTTAAATCATTTTTTTATGCAGCCCCGGTCACACCTCCCAGGTTATGACTCACACTGCCTCCATAAAAAAAAAGTTTTTAATTTTTCAATCAGATTTTACAGCATGGTGTGTTTAATTTAGAGCTTTTTATCTCCTACTCTATTTGAACATAAGTCTCACACGTGAGTCTTTTGAAAGCTGTTGCAAGGAATTAACAAAGCAGAAGTAAGAAATTCTAAATTAAACACACTGTGTGATAAGGCAAGTTAAGTAAAACAAACAACAAATTGGACTCTCTTTTAGAAGCTATGTAGGGAAACTGTGTGGGCAACATGCATGGAGGTGTGACTAGGGCTGCATAAACAAAGTGATTGCTTAGAGTGTCCCTTTAAGATAAGAAAGGAGAGAATTGTGTCATTATAAAAACAGGAACACAATGTTTTGTTCTACATTATTGGTGAAATTCACATTGCAGCAGAAATAGCTTGGCAGCTGAGGGAACTGAAATATTTCTTTTGTCTTTCTTGGTGAACCTCGTATCGTTTCTCCGGTCCCTGCAGGAGCTGTGGTTTTCTTCTTTGATTTATTAACTTTCGGTTTCTATGTGGATTTTAACATCCCTATGTAAGGACATGCCATTAACTCTCAGCAGGGGTGCATTTTACAGCAATCCCTTTTTGGCCAAAGACCTGATGTCTGCCATGACACTCAAAAAAGGACAACACTCACAGGCCCTAAATCTCGTAATGCAAATATCACTTTTCTAGATAATTTTGCTATTCGTTTTGTAGATACAGTGTGTTCTGTACTTATATTCCCCGTATCGCTGTACTTTGCTGGAGGATTGTCCTGGCTGTAATAGATAGGTGACAGAAAACATTTGTTTTAACATCTGTTTTATTATCATTCTTAATCCAAAATAGGGCGCAGTTTTTTTTACTCCAGAATGTATATGTCTCTGTCTCTCTCTCGCCCCTATCCCACCTCACAAATTCACACACACTGCATTCACTGTACAAACACTTCCTCCTTGACACACACTGCGTCCCCTAAACTCACTGGATTTCCTATACACACACACACATTACATCCCCTATAAACAGACACTACATCCTCTACATACATACACGCTACAGCCCCTATACACACATAATACGTCCCTTATACACTTAGCTGAAATTTACTGGTTGTTTTATTTATATTTTCTTCCAAATTTCTAGTTAAAACATATGACTGCATCTTATATTCAAATACATGTATGGTGACAACGTATCCCACAGTGCTTTAAAATAGGTAGACAAGACATGCGTGTAAGTTTAACGAAACACGTAAACAAGAGGCAGCTAGAGTCCTGCTCAAAGGAGCTTACAGTCTAAATAAAGGATTACTAGTAGTATTTTATACCAGGGATAGAAACACCGCAGTTATGCTAAAAGTCGCTCTCTGTTATGCACTTATAGTTAATGCAAATTGCAGTTTAGAAATGGCTTCATTTTTAACATCACGAGCATTATAGCATTACTAAAAGTGGCATTTCTCCTCGTGAAGTTCCAGTAAAGAGAAAAGGGTAACTTTTGAAGACATATAGAGAAAGACAAAACTGGTTCCAATACAAAATGATTTCAATCACAATAACCTTTCTAAAACCACTTTAACTGCACAACTATTCTATGAATGTAAAACTCAGAATTAATGGTCCAAAACACATACCATGAAACATCTGTTTCCAACTAATTGTGATTTAATCCATCTTGGTGACCCAGTTCCCAATTAAACATGGCCTTAGGTTTGTGTACACTACAAACAAGAATAAATAGTAAGGGCTACATTACAATGAAATGGGATTTTGTACAGCCATACCGTCCTTCCCTGTGCAGGTCAGAACTGAGTAGCTTTTGATACCCTGTCATTCTTTCTGTTTCAGGGACTGAGGAAGCCAACACTGGAAGAGATTGAGCAGGCCAGGAATGCTATCCAAACCCCATCTCTCTTTGGAAGCTCCTTGGAGGAGATTATGGAGCGTCAAAGAGAGGTGTATCCTGACCGGCGACTCCCCTGGGTGCAGACTCAGCTGTCCCAGCAAGTGCTAAACCTGGGAGGCGAGAAGACCGAAGGAATATTCAGGTACATATTTCACTAGCAGGTGACCGCTTAAGGGGACACCCTTAAAAAATAAACATTTAAAAATAATAAAACAAATCATTCTAATTGTCCCAGGTTTGCAAGTATTCCCTTGAGCGATATGTCCTGGCCATCTACTGGCCTCCCATTTCTTCAGTAGGAGAATTCACGAGCATGCACTTGAACATTTCTCAATGGAAGCCATGCAGTACTGCTCATGCATATGCTACTGGCCCAAAAGCAGCATTTCACTCTCTGGAATTATTTATAAAGGCCATTGGCTCAATTTATTCACTTGTGCAAGCAGTTTTCATTTCCCCCTATTGTAATTAATCAGGGATCCAGTTTCTTACTTCCTCTGTTTTACGTGGATGCTCATAACCAGGTATTGGTAACTAAGCTGTAGTAGTTATGGTGCTGGAAGTGTTCCTTTAACTGAGTCTATACATAGAATCTTCATAGCCTGTTATTAAAGGGTTAATATGATGAAGACTTTCAGTGTCAGCTCATTAGAACATTCCTTCATATTCAGACCACCAAATTCTTAGAATCATTCCATCAGTTGTCCACACCCAGCCGCAGTGCGCAGAGCAACCACAGTTATATTAATAAATTGCTTTCCAGTAAATGGTAACAGAACAAACACTTGTACATCTGCAAAGTGGTATACAGACAGTAGCCAAACTCCTGTGTATGACACCTCCGCTTGTGGTTACAGAGTCCCTGGGGATATTGATGAAGTGAATGCACTAAAAGTGCAGGTAGAACAGTGGATAATTCCGGATACCCTCTCTGACCCAACCATTCCAGGTGTGTACATGTTTGTATATGTTATTGAAAGCGTGCTTGAACATTCTACTGATCAAAAGTAGAACATTGTATAGCTAATGCAATGTGAATGACATTTTGTAACACTCAATCCCAAACTGTCAGATAGACACTGCATTTAAACCGCAATAAAAAATATGGAAAATCTTTTTTTGTTTTAAATGTCTAAAGAGGTTACTCTTACTTTAGGCCTTTTGTACTATTTCAGTCCGTTTGCAGATTGTGGTAAAGGTATCATAATCATTTGACCCTCGGCACCTTCTTACAAATAAATTATAATATTTATAAAATATATAATAAATTAGGAGGTGTCACTTGCCCCAAGCAAACAAGTGCAAATTCAAGCAGAAACACTGCACATCCAGACTCCTAACACCATAGTCACTTCACAAAGCAGAAGTGGTCATGGTTGTTGGAGTAAGCCCTTAAGTTTTGTATGAATTCACGTTTAGGGAAGTTAATATTTTGCAGTTCAAGGGAATATTCTACCAATTTCTTATATGTATTTTTAGAACAAATGAATCGTTTTTAAGAGTTTTCTTTTTCCCCCTTCAATTAATGAAAAATTCTCTGCACATTCAGCTTTAATTGCAGTTGCAGCAAGCCGAGGCCTCGATTTAGTAAGATTTCCAAGTGATTAAATTCTTTCATTTGGAAAAGTTATTCTAATCATTTGGAATGCTTTTTAAATTGAGGCCCAAGTTTAATAGGCTAGTTTTAAATGAATTGAATATCTTTGAGGAAAACAAAGGTTAATATGAAATGAAGACTAAGTGCACGAAGCGTCAGATGGCCTAAAAGTACAGTCACCTTGGCTCTGTCTAAACACGTCTATAAATAGACTATTGACATTGGGTGGATTGGTCGCTTGGAGCATTCAAGGTTCTACACATACCTCAGGCAGGAAGTGCTAATATAATAGCAGTACTCTTGATAACGCACAGGCCAAGCAGTGGATGTACACTTTATACATCTAGCAGGAAATCCCAATATTAAAGGAACTCTAGAGAGTGGATTTTTTTCACCCATTTTTAAACGCATCCAAAGGATAATAAAAAAAACAAAAAAAAAAGTGGAGTTTTCTTGGGATATAAACTGATTGCTCTTTCATTTTGAAACCAGGAATTGACTGAATTCCTTCTGCCAGTCGTGCATGTGCAGAGAACATCATTTCCCTTAAAACTAAAAATAATTCTATACACTCTCTTAAGAGTGAAAAGAAAATGTCTACAGTTTCTTTCTATCTATCATATTTCTTATGAAAAAAAAAAAAAACATACATTTTCTATTTGTTATTGTGATTGCATGAACAAGCACCTAAAGTTTAAATGTAAAAAAATATATATTAATCTGTCGGACATTGCATGTTTTATGTTAAAATGTGTGTCAAGCTCTTTGATGGATGAGGTTAGTTGTAAAACAATTTAAAGGAGTTTTTTTTCTGTGTCCTCCCAGCATCCCTCTTGAAACTGTGGTACAGAGAGCTCGAGGAGCCACTGATCCCTCAGCAGTTTTACAAGCAGTGCATCAGCAACTATGAAAATCCTGATGCAGCCGTATCTGTGGTTCAACAGCTTCCAGAGCTCAACAGACTTGTTCTCTGTTATCTCATCCATTTCCTGCAGGTAGGACATTTACCCAGAACCTTGTTTGGTGCTCCTCGTATGTTTGATACTTGAAAACCAAGTGTGTTGGTTCTTCAACAGTATTATATAACTGTAGCCATGGCCTCTATTGAACTTCCGTAGCAGTGTGATTTTACATGTAAAACTATGTAAATTCCATCCTAGCACAAGCACAATTCCATCCAAGTATGAGTGATGTTCTGTGAGATTACCGGAAGTAGTAGAGTAGATCTGAAATTACAGAAGAGTTAGAAATTAGTTTACTACTCTCCCAGTCTATGGTGCAGAGTGGACATTAGATCCATTCCCGGTCTGAGGTTTGAAGGAATGTGGTGACATGAATTTGCTTGTGTGATAGATTCAGCTATGCATTTCAACATTTTCTCCTTCTCTTTTTGCTAAACACAGGTTTTCTCAAAGCCATCTAATGTGGGCACAACAAAGATGGATGTCAACAATCTGGCCATGGTGATGGCTCCCAACTGCTTGCGGTGTCAGTCAGATGATCCCAGGATTATATTTGAGAACACTCGCAAGGAGATGTCCTTTCTGCGGATGCTTATCATCCACCTAGACACTAGTTTTGTTAGGGGTTTGCTCTGAGGGTGAAACCAGTAGCTAACCTTGTTTTTGATCCTGTTACCTGTACCCAACCTTACTTCGTTCATTTGAGAGCTGCGTTTTCTTCAGGTGAAGATTTGAAAGATTTGTTCCATGAGCTAGCCAATCAGAGACTTCTCAGGAGTTTTACAGCACTTTGTCGCTATCGTTTGCCTGGAATCTGTTACATCTTTGTGGTTCCCAAACTTATGTAATTACCACAAGCTCCACTTCATTTTCTTTGAGTTAATATTTGTATTATTTTTTAATCATATTTGGTTTGTAGCACTGTGAGGAAAACTACTACATTTCTTCCCGGCAAGACTCCGGCCGTGGGTGCTTCAATTTCCAGCACTCTGCTCTTTTCTTCTGAAATCCTTTTTAAAATCTAACAGAGAGAAGATACGAGCTTGGTTCATTTTATGTGAAAATCAAGGTTTTATTTTAATTTTATTCTTTTATTATCCCTGGAATGACTGCACCTCATAATATTTTACTTTTTTTTTTTTTTTCGTTATTACGGTTTTATCTTTTATTGGGGTGCTTGACATGTTGGACTGTAAAATCAGGCCCACTGCTTGATTGCAATTACTTTCCTTCAATGTCTGGAAGAATTTAAAAATATTTGTGTATTTTTCTGTGCAGTGTACAGCGTTAAATATGTTGTGTATATTGTGCATCCATCAGTACATTGATAGCGGACACCAGCACTGCATTAATTAATGAACTACATTTCACATGGGGCTGAGCCAAACCCAACACTGGCAAAGCATCATGGTAGATCTAGTTCTGCTTTGCCGAAGTCAGCCATCACTGTACTAGGGGTTTAGTCAAACTTCACAGCAAATAGCAGTGGGCAAATGTGAATGTCTTTATAGATGCCGACTTTTCCTTTAATTACTTTAATTTATTTATATTTGATTCGGTGTCCAACGTTCTCCTTTGTTTACGTGCAAAAGTTCTAGATAAATGTCAAGGCTCTTGATAAAGTGCCATATTCTCTTTTGGCTACTGAAAAAAAAGGAGTTTTAATTTGAATTGTCCAAATATTAGGAAGGATCCATAATTCCTCCACCTCCTACTAAAGAAAAAAAAAAGTTTACATTAGATGTAGATGCCATCGCGATTTACCTTTAAAATTAGGTCTGTATGTCAATGTTCATATATAATATTCACGATCCATGCAGTTGTGCGGTGTGCAGATAACATTCACAACCCATGTTTCAAATGTGCCTTTGTGTATTGCGATAAAAGAATAGGTTTCAGAATTTTGAGATGTCTAGATGATGACTTTGCCTCTATAAAAACCTTCCGTACTGCCTCCTTGCAAATTCCTGATTTCTTGTCTCTTCCACTTTAAGTTGTCACTGTGATGTAATCATTTACACCAAAACCGAGAAAGTGCTACTTCCGCGGCACCTCCACCTAGATAATGTATTTATCTAATAAATATATATATTTATAGTTTTGATGCAGTGTGTGTGTGTGCTGGGATATAGAAATGCTTGATTATGTGTGTGTATGCTTGTAGATACCTGCGTGTGTGCTTTTGAATGTATAAATATATAAAAACTTGAACAGCTGTATATTTTTTATAGGAACATGAAAGGTTAAATATAAGCAGTTTAAAAGCAGCAACATAGCCCATTGTATTTGTATGAGTATAACATGTTTGTTTTTTTGATACAAAAAATAAATAAATATATATATATATACATATAATAACCATGTGGCCTTCAGGACATATGTAGATTTTGAGGAACTTGTCTTTTTGGATTCCTGCTTGGCTAACAGTAGGCAGCTATAGGAGCCCTCATTTCACAAATCCCCAATTTTATATGCAGCTTTCTTAATAACAAAAAAAGAAAAAAAAAATGGCCCAAAAAGTAAATTCTCTTTCATTACCTTTGATACATATAGAGACTTGTGACTGGTCATATGCAGAGAGAACAATTACTGAAATTTGTGTTTTTTTTGTTTACTTGCAGAAGTTCAAGTTCTTGAAAAAGAGGAAGTTTCACCAGAAAGTAAATTAACATGGTATATAGTTAAAGGGACACTCTAACTTTGAAAAATAAATGTCGTATTTTTAAGTCAGATGTGTCCCTTTATCCATTTAGATTAATGGCCCCATTCTTCTTTTTAAAAGAAACACGTGAGTCGTATGACAAGCATTAGCCGTGTCTGGCTAATTATGACGCTGAACATGAAGACCTTTGAAAATCAAAGGATCTGAAGGAGCTAGCAGCTCTGATGGCTGACTGTTTGACAGCCACTAGAGGCATGTTCTTGGCCAAGTGTAAGCATTACCATTTGTCAAAAATGGCAATGTTTTATTTTGTCAGACAAAAAGATGTCCAGCACTCCTTATTGTTCAGACTTTATGGTTAGCAACCAGCACTTCATAAAAAAACAGACAGCTGTATGTAAGTTTTTTTGTTTTTCTGTGATTGTCATGCTTATACGTAGTTACCGTCTGCTGCATTTATGATCCCCCATTGCATTGAAATATTTTGAGAAAACAATTTGTTTTCATGTGGGCAATAACCTTTCAACAATAATTCAGAACCTTTTGGTAAACTTGCCTGTTTTTATAATGGTGTTTTTTTAAAAAAGGCTCTGTTGATAGGTGCCATATATCTATGGTTAATTATTTGTCTGTTAAAATAGGACAGGATTTTTTTCTAAATGAGTGAATGTTTCAATTTGCCTGAATCAAGTCAATATGACTCGTTTTTACAAAGATTGAAAAAAACAAGCATGACATATGTTGACTGTGGAAGCACTGGTTTGATTTATTTCAAATAGAGCCCGTCAGCTTTGAGGCTATTACCCTCCCCTTGCTCAGAGTACACTGCACAGAGGGTGTGTATAAAACATACATCCCTGAAGTATATATTTTCTATAATCGTCTCAAATAACAAGGGAGATGATGTCATACTATAATACAAAAGATGAAAATGTGACCTGTTCTGTATTGTTCTAAATATGCTGCAGGCTTATCCCTCCACTTTCAAATGGGTCTACCTATCCCTTTGCCTATTCATGAGCTGTAATTAGTGATGTCAGCTTAGTCATTCTTGATTTGGCTCATTTATACTCCACATGCTTCCGAGCAGCCATGAAAAATGTGGAAACACGCAACTGATGTGTGATGTCCTTAGGGTCCATCAATTTATTTAGTTCCATTGATCAGTGCATTTTATTGGCCTTTTCTATGGATCATCTGGTTCTGTGTAGAATTACGTGCCCAGAAAAGAATGATAGACTTGGCAACCCTAGTGTGACAGTAAAACTAGGGTGGAACTCCGGGCTGTGTCTTCTTGTTGTTCCTTAAAAATTAAAGATGTTCAGTCTTTTTATACTGAGATGTATAAATTACTGTAAATAGAATATTAAATATATTACTTTCTATTCTTTATTTGTTTCTCTACTCATCTGGTCATCTACATTGAATATGTTTATATCAAACCGTTGGTGATTTACTTGTCTTGTGCTCTGCCTGACACTGTGGAAGCAACGATGTAAATAATTAGAACTGTATCACGTACTTTGCGCTTTTTTTTTAAAGTTCTGCCATGTAAAACAGATTGCCCCGTATTCCATATGATCATTATAGTTTTAACTGTTTACAATGAAAATGTTGTGCCATTGTTAAAATTACTGTACAATAAATGTGTGGTGGGAATTCTGAAAATGATCTGTGTCTTCTGACTGGGGATGTTTGCAATGTTCTGATCCTGTTCTAGAATGTACACTACACTGGACCTCGCTATAAGATGTGTGCTCATTGAACTACAGGTGCTTCTGCTTTATATTTCGTTCAAATAAAATTTTACAGTTTACCTACTTTGTCATGTTTCGTAATTTCTCAGTGGGATTACTAAGCAAGCAACTATCAGAGAGTTTATTTACAAAAGAGTCTTTTGTATACACACATTTCTAATGGCGTAAACATAAGAAATAGACCCAAACCTGAAGCGTGAGGCACTGGATGTGAAAAGGAGTCATGCAGACACGTTTGGGATTTGGAGCTCCATCCAAAACACTAGGAAGTGCTCTCCCCTCCACATCCATACAATTTGGCTTGAGAAAGTTAAATGCCAGATGGGCATATATTAATCATGTATCTTTATATCTGTTATTTGGTTTGTCTTTTTATATTCCATGATTAAATGAATCTGCATAGATTAACTTGTAATATAACCTGGCTTCTACATTTCTCAAACCCTGCCTAAAACATACCATACCATGCTGTAACGGCCACCCAGAGTATCAGAGGGGTGTATGCCGTTGGAGACGTCCTTTTCCCTTGAGAGGAGCTGTGCTGCAGTATTCTCCAGATGTCATCTCAGCCGAACCATTAGTTGTAGGGGTAGTAGAGCTCTTACAAGAGCTAGTGATTAGTTGTGAAGCAGGTTCTCTACAAGTACGAGACAAGGCTACATGTTGAGGGTTAAGCAGATCTGAAGCTTTAATGGGACAGGCTGGCCTTTTATGCAACTTTCCCAACAAGGTTGCCACCCAAGTGGACCTTGTTGGGCACAGGGAAATACAGTCAACAGCCAATAACCATACAGTCACATAATGAAACACTCCCATTCATTACACAAAATTCCTCCCCTCTGCTTGGGAGCTAATACTGTATCAACTCCATTATCTCCAAACGAAAAAATGAAACTTTTTACACTTTCAGAAATACCCTAAAACCATATCCAAATCCCATAAAACATATATTTTCTGATAGGGCATAGTTATAGGAACAGCATATTAAAAAAAATCATATGAATCGGTTCAGGGGTTTGGGAGATAGACGGAAGTCCCATTTCTGCCTGGCCGCACACGAGGCTCCTGCCCAAAATAGTTCCATGCATTTAGCATGTGCGGCCGGTCTCTTTCGTGCCTTTTTAGATATAGTTTGTTCGTTTTGCAGTTCGTCTGTGGTATTAAATGCAGGGTATTGTAACAAGAGTTTAAACAGCAACAATATTGTAATCCACGAACAGGGCTACACATGCCTTGAGGTGAAATGAGCTCATCTAAGGGCTATAAGTACTACCTATCCATTAACAGTTCTGGTGATTAATTTACAAGTGGTGATGCATAGTGTGTTGTACACGTCTATCCTGCCACCCATTTAAGCTTTCCACCCATCAGTTGGGCGTCAGGCCACAGGTATCAAATAGGAGACATTTGTTCTGGCTCGTTGTATGGGACACTACAAATGGTTTACAAGAATATAGTGGAAACAAAATGGTAGGGAGAACTCTACCAATATTTTAAAAACCGTTGTCTACTCACTATGCCTACTGCTACTTATTGTAATAGTTATGCTCCAATAAGTCTGGTTGCCTCCCCTGTTTTTTCCCCTCAAAGTGGTTAAATAAATCGGGGCTGTCCGGGCTTCTGTTGACAGTGTGGAAGATTTACTGCTGGATTATCTGTAGAAAACCTCCCAACTGGATGACAATGGTAGTTTGTAAGTATAATACATGTTCACGATCTTCTAAAGAAAGGTATTATCAAATTAATAATGTTAATATTTTTTGGGGGTGGAATGATTGAAAAATAAATATATTCAAATTAGTAAATTTTGTATAATAAATAATGACTTCATTGCTATGTAGCTTAGGGGTATAAATCCAAGACACATTTAAATGTGTGCGTCATTTTACAGAGAAGCATAAAAGGTGCATTTACATTGAAACTAGTTCAGGGTACAGAATCAAATGACACAATATGATTTTTATTTTATTTTAAGCATTACTGAGTTAATGACCAAGGTGAAAAATGTAGGACAAAATAGTCGGAAAATGTCTTTGCCAATTTCAAGATGTTTTTCCCACCTAAGTAATTGAAGTCAAAATTGTGCAGTTGCATTAACAATACCCCATTTAATGAATAAACCCTTAGATTATAAACATAATGTACTCAATACATAGTACTGTTCTTGACGATTAATCTACACAATACATATGAGGTGAATATTACTCTCATTTTTTTTTGAGCAAGGACTTGCTATGATAACTTCTAGAATCACTGTGTACTCAACTCAATTCTGGCACATATAATGCTTAAATATCACCGGCATCCCATTAATAAGATGACATGCTACATTCCGGACAAGATAAAACCCGAGATGGATATCACTGGTATTGGTCTCACCATTGGAAGGTATGCAATCAGGATATGTGGGGGCAGATTGGAAGGGGGCCAGTGATGCAGTTGTCATCACTGATTGGGTGATGTAGCTGCTGGGAGACATGTCAGCCCAGAATGTATGTGCTGTGGATTGAGAGTCAGCTGTGCAGGAAAACCAACTAATCCGTTCCATAATCCAGTCTTTGTACAGCAGCTTCAGAAAAAGTGCAAAGGGCAGGAAGCATGAATGGGAACATCTGAAATTTGGAGGGAGGGAGAATGTCGCTGGGGCCTGTAAAAATATTGGGGGCAACAATATATAGCGGTAGTGAGAATAGTGGTTGATGAGGCAGGAATATGACTGTAGAGGGTTGTAGTGTGGAGCATATATTGATTTATGAAGATATAAAGAAGGTATCTGTCACAAGGAGGATTGAGGGAGACATTGGGGAGATTGACGGACATGATGCTACTTGTTAAAAGAGGCATCCAAAGCAGCATAACTACAGCAGTTTGTGGTAATTGTAGAGTAAGAGTATTAATGCTCTGTCACCCAACGGAATTTGTTGGCGCTATATAAATATAATAATAATAATAGAACAGAGCACTCCTAGTGCACAGCAGTCCCTCTGTTATGGTTCGGTGAAAATGTGGCTAATGTAAGTTCAAGTTAGAATCGGCAAAGCCATATCAATGGGGTTTGCTTTGCATGCCAAAAGAGGCCCAGGTTCAGAGCGCTCGAAAATGGTTTGCCACAAACCAGGGGGACGCTACCCGAAGAGCTGTAATACGTATGGTTCTCAGAGTACCTCTACTTATATTCCATTCAGCCTGTATGAGGAATACTTGTCTGATCAGAGTATGACACAGGGGTTTGAAAGATGCATTGGGAAGTTGTCTTAAGGAAATTAAATGGGGACTGAGAGACCTACACGTGAAAGGGCTGTAAGACACCAAAGTGTGACTTGCTGTTAATTCAAAATGAACATCAAATATCTAGACCAAGACAGCCAAACTGAAAATGTAACTGGTCTGAAGAATTTTCCAATTTGGGATTGAGATGTAAAATTCTTAATATTCACAACAATTCACAATTTATTAAATTAGCCTGATGTAACAAAGAGAAAGCATGTAAAATAGGTTGTTGGCCATTTTCATACTTGTGTTCTTAACTTATTTCTCTTCATTTGCTATGTTTTTAATCCTTTCTTATGAACATTCATTCCAAATTTCATGAAAACTCTTTTGGTTTATCAGAAGATAACACTTTGCTTTATCCTCTGCCCAGAGCAGTTAACCATGCATGTGTAGACTTAGACTGTAAAACAATAGATTGATAAAAGTCAACATGGCCCAAATACTTGTATGCAATGCTTAACATTGGATTCATTGTATACCTGCCCTACATCATTTAATAGTACTGATATGAGTTATCTTCCAGGAGGCATCTTACAAGTATTTGAGTGGTTCTTGGCTTAAGACCCATTGTGAAAGTCAAAAATACTTTTTCAGCTAAAGATGAGGAGCTATAAGCTTGCTGATTACTTTTTTCAATGCAATATTGTGAATTAAATCATCACACAAGTTAAATGGAAATCTAAGCAACATAACCACCGTGTTAGCCCAACACTGTCTTGCAACCACTCTGTTTATATGTGATAATGTAGATTAGTTAATTATGCACTATTAATGTATTTGAGCGGTGTGCGAGTGCCATGGAGAGGTCCAGTTTTTGTTAAACTACTTGTAATGGTTTTATTGATGTATGGCACACAAATAATCTAGGCAACAGTACACAGAGCGGTGAGGTTACGTAGAATGTCTCTTTAATTAGATCTATGATATAATATATTATGGGATCAAGTCAGAATGAGTATAGACTTTTGATAAAATGGTATAGCATAGAATATTTGTGGTCTCTGTCAGATTGTTCCTCACACAAAACAAGAAGACAATGGAAATCAATGGTGAAAAATTATGCCTTTTTTTTTTTTTAATGTAACATATAAAAGACATTTATAATGCCCAAGATTCTAGAACTGCACAGCTTCGAGAAACCAACCAGCTTCAGGTAGATTTCTTCCTCACCAGGAAGAGGCTCATCCAGTCAGGTGCCTCTCAGTCTGGCTTGTTCTCAGTCCAAAAACACTTGCCGAGCTGAGGCTTAAGGTAATAATAGTTTCTCCCAGGGCAGGATTAACAGCCTATTGGACCTGGTGCTGATGATTATAATGGGCCTAATTATAGAATATTTCTGACAGAAAGCACTATCACAGCCATACCTCATGCATCTGGTGGCAGTCACATTTGACGGAGACTTGCCGGATACATTTTTATGAATACACATACTCAATTTCAGTCTCGTTCAACTTAGTCTGTCTGTCTTACAAGTCCCACAACCCTCTCACTCATTAATCACAAATTGTGAATCCTCTCTGTTCAGGACTCGTTTTTCCACTCCTCTGCTTCCCTTCTTACTAGCAGACAGAAGCTTGCTCATGGGAAGTAGACTGGGACAGAGAAAGAGGTGGATGTAGTAAGTGTAGTTGTCACAAGGAATAACCCAAACACGCAGAATCTAGGATAAAAGTAGCAGACTGGACTAAAATAGACATGTTCCGGTCCTTAGAGTGGCCGGGTTTAACATATAAGGAAACGTAGTCAAATACAGGTCTGGGTGAGGATAACAGAGAGACAGTGAAAACGAGAACTAGCTGGTGTCAGGTACACATTGTATCAATAGAACTGGTAAACAAGTCAG